ATAATATCCAACCTACACACTATGTGAGTATTTGTTGAAGTTGATGTTGAAGCTTAGAAATTTGCAAATCATGCGGTGCAAGTTGGTGCAAAGGCACTTCAATCACCGCTCAAATTACACACATTTTCCTGTGCGTTTGCGTAAAGAGGTGCGGTGTCTAATGCTCTAATTGGTGCGTTTATAAACTCGGCGAAAAATGCACTTTCATAATAATTAGAGCTAACTCGTTGAAAATGGCAAAGTGATTTTCTAAAGGACTTTGTTCAGAAAGCCAAACGAAATAAATTGTGTAGCGGTGGCCGCAGCAAAAGGATAAGGAAGAAAAGCGATCTAAATGCAATATCTTGTCTTGACCGCGGATGCCCGCCGACAGAAGAGTGTATAAAGACTCCAAACGGTTGGAGCGTGCCCCAAGGCGACAACGCAATACTGCACCGAGGAGCAACAAAATGCCGCATCGCATCGTGGAGGAGAAGACGATGTTAATATAATAGAGAATGCAGATTGTGTTTTGAAAGTGCTTGGAGTCGACGGCGCGTCGCCGCCGGCGATTGCTCATTGCCGAAGTCCGAGGCAGAACGAAGGATCTTCGTACTAAGTTCTAAACATTCGCGTCACACTCGGTTAGCTCGTGCAGCGCGTTCGTAAAGTTCCCACGCTTTTGACTTAGTTAAGCAATGCGCACCGAGCTGGACAAAAAGTACGCAATTATTCGACGTACATTATTATTGGTGCACATTGGTTTGGACTTACGAAACTTGCGCGACCCGCAAACTGTACCTACTCTTGTTTGTTTGCTTTCTTTTCCTTTTTCTTCAGCGATAAATTGGCGCGAGCGCTACGGATGATTTATTACTCGAAGAACCGATAGTTTCGATCACGATTTTTTTAAAACTTACCACACGCTTACGTTTACATTTACGGTTCCAAAGAAATCGCACATAAATAAACAGAGATGGTGTTTGTATTCTATTTTTAAAAGTTTATTTGCACTACCGCTTTGATTGGGGTTATGGTTGTTTGAATGTGTACTTTTCCAATTGTCCCCTCTCACCCTGAATGAATCATTCGATCGAAGGACTATGTGTTATTCATGCGCATGCGCTGCTCTCCTACGATCTCCGTCGATCGAACTCGTTTATCTTATTTCCACCGATCGTTTGTTTTCGTTTTCTGCGCTCGGGCGCTTCTTTTTATTCCGTTCGTGTTTTACTTTTTGGTTTCCTCATGCTGCGCACGAAATGAATCTTGTCGGCGTTGAATGGAAACTTTACGTTGCATTGTGCGCGCACCTATCTGAATTTCAAATCGTATTTTATTTACTCGCGCACGAACGCGAGCGCTGTCTATCGCGGTTGCGATTTTAATGTGAACGTTATAAGCGCATGGAAGCCGCGGCTCCGACCCGATTACAAGTGCAAGTGCAGCATCGAGACGACACGAGAGATGCGGTGCGCGTTGTTTCGGATGCTGGGACTTGGGAGACACACTGCAGTGGGCAGTGGGTCGCGCACAGCCAACGCAAAGATCATTATAAAAACACGCACGGAGCGAAAACACGCAATCCCGTGCAATATATTTTGATTTAATTAAATCTCAAATGCAGAGAGTGCAAAAATAAGGATTTATGTTTCTCCAAAACAAATAAAAATGGCATGAAAAGTCTTTAATTGTGCTTGCAGATTAAACCGTGTCGCCGAACTCAGGTAATTATACTTTACATAGAGATACACATTGACCCTGCACACTAAAATTTAGCATATTACGAGCATGTTTACGATTCTTAGCTGGCATCCCGTAAAACATAATAAACACAATTTTCAACGTGTTTTACCAATGGTAAAATAGCACTTGCAAGCAAATTTGCTCTGCTCTCGAGCCGCAGGAAGATAGCGACTAGTCCAAAAACCTCGCCCCCCCTGCACACATAATAAGTAATAACTGCGCATTGCTTGTCGAATCGGATGAAGGCAGCGGCGCGAACCAAAAAAGCGTGAAACGCTCGAGCGCACGCGTCCGCGCCAAGAGGAAGTCCACAATTTCCACGGCGGCGCGCGTGTTTTTCTACATCGCTGACGACGCGAGGATGGCACGTGATTCACACGTCGTAATTTGATTACACCGCACGGCGCGCAGATGACTACGGCGCAAAGAAATAAAACTCTGTTCAATGAATCAATCAATGCTGCTAATCATCTCCGTCCGCATTCTGATGCATTCCGTTGGGAAAACTTGCTTCATTCCAATTCCATTAAGAGTATTAGACTTCGATGGATGCGACCACCGCGATTGGTAATGGATAAACGATATTAACGCTATCTATGCGCATTTTCATTCAAACATTTCTTCGTGGATTCATGTATTCATATTCTGAGTAAGAATATTACGCGCGTGCAGGTCAATGAGCCTCTATAGAGATCCGCAACTTTTTGTTGTGATTAATGAACATAAAAACGCAAAAAACGACTCGTGCATAAAGGCAGCGACTTTTTTTTTTGTTAAGTTATATATGTTAATTATCATATAAAACGCTTTAAAAAATGCTACACTCCAGCAGCGCGCCGAAAATAGATAAATTAAGTTGTTTTTTTACTCTCAAGTCTTGGATGGTGTCATGTTACCGGACAGAGCGTAAAAAAACATTACTTTATGTTTGCATAAACAATTAAAATTTGCATAACACAACTATTTTTGTCCGGCTTGTGTATTTTATTATTTTACTGTTCCTGTTTACATCTTTTGATTTAAATTCACCGGTATTATTGTATCACGCAACTTTACCAATTATCAATTTATCAATGGTGGTAAAAACGATGCGTGCTAGTTTTGTCACGCCATTAATTGTACCTTAGTGTTATTCAAATGATTTCGAGTTTATGTAAAGTTTATGTAATAATTAAAGCGCTAATGGATTGAAATGGCTAAGGAGATTGGGGTCATCGACACTGCGAACACGCACTTTGCGCGCTAATTAATGAAAATTTATATTTATAAAATCGTTTGTCAATTTAGTGCCGGCACGGTATAAATTGAAGAAATAATATATATCTTCACATTGAATTGGATAAATGTGAAGTGCGAGCAGGGCGTGATTAATGAAATGAAACGATACAGATGAGCGATACTTTGGACTCGCCGATAAGCCGTACGCGCATGCACAATAGATACGTTCACAAAACACTCATTGTTCTTGATTGTTCATTGATTGTGAGCATTGTTCGTCTTTTTTTCGTACAGCGTCCATTTGCATTGTCAATTTCAATCAATCCTTGTCGACCATGTCAACCAATATAATTTAATCAATCAGGGAATTTTAGTTTTATAGGTTTAATCGGTGATTATTGTGAGTTATGCACAATGAAGAAGCCATATTTTGTTTTCACGTGCACTGATGGCTTTTTGTTTTGGTACTTGGTGTCGATTAGGTAATGACAAATTTATCACTTCTTGCGTGTGTCCGGCTCTTCGGCGAGTTGTGTTTTATCTGGCACGTCGCGCGCCGATTTACGATCGCCGCCGCGGTCGTAACGACGGCCACCGGCGTGCGCCACACGCATTTCGGCGTTAAGCGGATCAATCGCCCGCCGATTTCCGAGTATTTCACGCGGTGAGGGTGCCGCCGGCGGCGATCAATCGCCGCGGAAAGCGCGAAAGCCGCGCGCGCGCGCGCCAACATCACGTGTGGCCGCTCGTCAGGTGACAATGAGCGGGAACATAACGGTCTTCAACCGTGCCCATCGTGTGAGACAATGGCGACGAAGTCGCCGATCGTACTTTTGTTTGTTTTCCATACCGCAAGAACGCGGATGAGTGTATTGTCTGTGTGTGTCACATTCACCGAAGATAATATTTGCCAAGACAAGATTTATTCACTCCTCGTATCATTAAAAATGTAAATTCTCCTTTCTACCTCTTGTTTGTACTCAGAATTCAATATATTTATATGTATTGGAATTGGTGCTTTGTTTTTTTTTTGCACTCTCACTAGAACGGCCCAGCCATTCGGAACATTTGAGATTTATGCGCATCGATGGGTTCTTCTTGAGCGCAATAAGTTTATAGCCGGCGTTCGCGTTTTAAATTGGCTCGCTCGCACACCTACGGCCGCCGGTTGGCGCATGGCCGCCGCGGGCTCGTAATCACCAAGCGATATGAACTTAACCGGAGACTAAAAAGGAGCACCAAACTCCCATTATAACGAGAAGTGCGCCGCGCTGACCATCTCTCCTAGAAGACAACTCTCTGCGTCCGCGCGTAATTTATGTCATTATTCCAAACCGCCCGGCGTGATTTTTGCGCAACGTTTTCACTCCGAGTGCGCAAAAATCAGCCGCGCTAGCGGTCAGGCGGAAGGTTCACGGCGCGCGCACAACATTCATCTTCGCCGAGAAGCAAAGTTTGAGTTTCGAATTCGTGACATAACGGAATCTATGAAAGTCATGGTCTCTTCGCACACCGTGTGTGCCAGTGTGCGCTCGAGCCGAACGCAGCACACGATGCGAAAGCAACGAAAGCTTTCGATTCACAATGTGGACGAACCGCCATTGTGGGTCCTAATCAATCAGTGTGTGCAGAGCGAAGCCCGAAACTCCGATTTATCATTTGATTCAACCGCGCGCTGATTAGAGACGTAGACTGTCAAGTTCAAGAGGTTAATCAAGAATAAGCCCGTGCTTTCAACTTGACCCATATAACTCGTAACTTGTTGATTTCAGAAACGCTTTGTTCCGAATGATGTGATAATGGCGACGACGACCGTTGACGACAGCGGCACCGAGACGCTCTTTTCGGATGAATCGCCCACCATTGATGACCTCAGCTCGCCAACGATCTGCTCCGATTCGGAGACACCGGCGCCCTCCAAGGGCGTCGATTTTCAATTTCGCAAAGCACACCTAGCTCCACCAAACATCCAACCGTTCAGCGGTGTCCTCGAAAAGGTAAATCAACAAGTCCGGGTCGTGCTCGTTTGTTTCGTCTTTGTTTCGCCATGTCGCACACCGATGCCTATCTGCAACTTGTTGCAAATATATAAACTCACTCAGATCTTAGATTCAGGCATTTTTTTTTGCTTCCAATAAGGAAATACAAATTCCGATCTGGACCGCAGAGAAAATACGAATACTTTGTTACCCAACCTTAGGAAATAGTTACAATACTTACAAAAATTCGCGAACCAACCTGCTGGTTTGGTTTAGAGCTTCACCACTTGCATCTCGAGTAGATTTTTCCACGTTATACGTCCATAAATAATCGTATCGCTCGGATTCATCTCGTGTTCATGTTTCATCCGCTGCGTTCGTTTCGTTTATTTGCCGGTTGCGATACTCGCGCGCTGCTTCTTTGTGGTCGTTTTGTGTTCCTGCGGTGGTTCTATGTTTGTTTCGTCGCCGCATGAGTTGCATCGCTTGTCGGACCGCGGTTATCGAGCCGCGCGCGGCCAGCAACATAGCAAAAAAGAAGTCGCAAGCAACAAGCAATAAAATCGTTTTAAAACGATCATTTTGCGGGTGTTTATTCGGTTTGCACCTTTCCATGCATACACTGGCTGTAATCGAATTTGGATTTGCCTATGATTCTGACTGTACACGTGACTGTAAACTCAAGTTAATCAAATTATCCGCTTTGACATGTTTTATAAATATCACAAAATCATTTCCATGTTCATTTCAGTTTTCTATCGATTCTAGTGTATTCAGAAACCCTTTTGTAAGCCAACTAGTTATTAGTTTGAGTCTTGGTTGAGATTTTGAGCTTCTCGTGCATGCACGAGCTCAGGTGTTTTCAGGTAAGCTTAAAACTCGGTCAAAATGCGGCACACTTAATGCCACGGCCTGTTTTCATACTAGTTTTCATACACCATACACACCTGTACGCACCTGCGGACACGTTATTTATTTAGGGATCGATTTCCTTAAGACGTACACCTATCATTATGTAATAGCATACTTGGTAAACATGTAGGTACGGCAAAATTATGATTACTTGCTTCATGCTCTGCGAGCATAATTGTTAACACTTGGTGATTGCGTCGAGGCGTGCAATAAAACCGCAAGTTTCTCGCAATTTTGCTTTTTTTTCATAATGTTCCTTCAGCCGACAACTTAATACACGCAAACCAATTCACGCGTGTGCTCATAATCGTACATGATCGCACCGTTATTTTCTTATTACGTTACTGCTGCCAATTCCACCAATCTTGTTGGGTAATTTTCGAAATGTGAATGACCATTGTATACAACAGTTATAATGTAAAATCAACTCGATGTTTGTTTGGTAATTATGGACGAGAGTCAATAACCTATCTTGAAGATAATGATTTGTTGTGGTTTTGATTGTTTCTAGGGTAAAGTGTTAATAAGACCAATTGCATTTAAACCATCAACGGCGTCATCGTTGAATTCAGGATCACGGTTTGGTCTGACTGGTGAACGATACGGTTCGACTCCAATTTTGACTCGACCTGGCTCCAGACTCACCCTTTATGGCAGTAAGTTGACTGCAATTTCAAATATCAATAAAATAATAATTGTTTTATTGTAGGTAGTAGCGACGTACGACAGTCTTCTATTAATCCAGGCATCAATAACTATTCTTTGGATAGAAAACTTCGTTCGTCATGTCAATCGATGAATGCTTCCCCGTCATTGGCAATGAGTTCCTTATCTTCACTACCACACAAACTGATCACAAACTATGACAGTTTGGAAAGCGTACGAAAATCACCATTATCCACCGTTGATGGTTCCATATTGTATGTGTAACATATCATGTTTGATACAATCTAAAGTTATTTCTTTTTCCTTAGGAATAAGACCTACAATAGACTGACCAGTGTAGGCACCGGAAGTCTTCTTGACTTAACGCCGTCTCCATCGGATTCAGGTGTTTCTGAATTGGAGGCGGCGTTAAGAGATAGAGACTCTGAGCTGGCTTACCTACGCCAAACCATGGAACACAACGAACAGGTTATCTTTCGGGTTTATCAAGAGAAAGAACGCACTTGGGAGCGAGAACTTCGTCGATTTAAGGGACTGCACGAGCAGAATATTCGCACTAGTTCCCAGCGTGTATTTAAACTGGAGCAGATGCTTATGATGCAGAATTATCAGCATCAACAAGAGAAGAAACGTCTTTGTGCGGAAGCACAGAGAGCTGGTGCGCAAACTGACAGATTGTCACAAGAGGTGAAAATTTTGAAAGATAGACTTGAAGAGACCGAATGGAATTTATGCCAGAAAACTGGGGAGATTTCATTACTCAAATCACAATTAAAAGATATTCAGGTATGTTTAAGTTATCTTCTTTTAAGTGTTACCCTATTCAAAACGTGGTGTGGGTTTTTAGAATGAACATAACTCCAGAGGACAAGAAGCAATTCAAGCACGGAATGAATGTCGCCAAGCCCAAGAAGATCTTACAGCTGCAAAACAACATATAGCAAGTCTGGAAGCAGCGATGATTCAGAAAGACCTTGATTTAGAAGTCCTACGCGCACAGCTTGCTGGTGAGGAACCCGAGAGACTGCGAAAAGAAATTGATGAATTACGCGAGGAACTTTCTGAAGTATCAATGAGTGAGTACGAAGGTCTGGAAGCCGGACGAGCACCGCGTACTCAACGCCTTCAAGCTCTCGATGAATTGCGACGTGAACTTGATCAGCGACAGGGTGACTTCGAAAAGGAACGCGTAGTCTGGGCGCAAGAAAAAGAAAAGGTATTGAGATACCAGCGGCAATTACAGATGAACTACGTTCAGATGTACCGACGCACGAGGTCGCTGGAAGCGGAAGTCGAAAGCCTCTCCATTGAGCTTGAACTGGATAAGTCTGGTATGAAAACTTTACGCACCAACAACGAATTGAACCAGACTATCGAACTCTGAATTGTTAGCGAATAAGTCCGCGACTGTTTCTTATGTAGATGACACTCTACTGTGATGAGTTAATAGTTGCGATGCTACTACAATTCACGTGGTGTAGATATATATCGGATATGAATATGTGTGATTTATTTATTTTTCTAAACTATTTAGATACCAAGCAGTAGTAGGAGTAGATTTAGATTATTGAACTATGTTTTTGATGTACCCAGAAGAACGAATCGTACCATACAATTTACCAATACGTTTTGCAAACATAATACCCAGGTAGTTTAAAAAATTTACGCAAATTTGAAAGATTATACATGAAAAGAGACACGTACTTTATAATTTTAACGATAATTAAGTATTTTTTTGTTCCAAACTGTAAATAAACAAGTTTTTTTTTTATTAGAAACACGTTGTTCACTCAACTAACTCCAGCGAGACTTGTTTAAAAATTGTGCGTCCTAACAGAGATAAGTAATTTTAAACCGCAATCGCTTGTTTGGAGGAATTGCTTGTGCGTTAACATCTATTACAAAGTATTTTGTAATCATTGTGCGCGTTCAACGTTAAAAGCGATTAAAAAATACTAAGGAGTTTCTTTGGTCCCCTTCAACACGGCTGCATGAACGTAAATGTTTGTGCTTAGAAGCGTGACCTCGGGTAGGTATCACGATCTTTAGGCGTCCCTCCAAATCTATCCATCAACTTGTTGGGGATCGGTTTAGTGGCAGGCGCGTTGGGTGACGACGCCTCTTGAACTGATATGATCTTGGATCCTTTGCGATATTTGTACCACCAGTATTCGAATGCAAGTGTGACGCAAGCTAAGCCAATGCCGACGAAAATGACAATGAACACACCACCGATGTTTTGAATGCTGATACCGTCCGATTGGTCATCTTGTTGTTTACACTCGACTGTTTTTGGATTGTTGGTCCACCATTTTTCTTTGAAGCGTTCCAATTGGCGTTTGTTTAACAACTGTAGAATTCTGTAATAATAAGAAATGAAGCGAGATTTATAACAGCAATTTATAAAAGGAGATAGTAATAATTACGCTGTATTGAATTGATCACGCAATGGAGATCCTTGCTGCACGGCGATAGCATAAGGTTTCCTAGAAAACTCTTCTCCGACCATCTGAAGGTCGCAATTGGTGAGTTTAAGAAATTTGATATCGGTAGCATCTCCCAGATAGGCAAATCCTTCGCTGGACGTCGGACTCTTGCGAACTCGCGCCACAGCTTCTTCCAAAGTATTTGGCAAAACAGCTTCCTTCATAGCCTGCCACATTTTAGTATATTTATCTGAAACTGGATAATCCCACACTGCTAACTTGGCACGCTCAACGTCCGAGAGTGAATCGTTCAAACTCATATCCTTCCAAATTCTGAAATAAAAATAAAATTGTTAAACTGTTTGTTTATGATAATTGACATTGCATGCTACATACTCATAGAATCGATATTCAATGTCGTTCATTCTCTGGAAGTAAGTCATCGCCGAGGAACCATTCAAAGGAGCATACTGAATTTTATACTGTTTAGACAAATCGTCCAAAGATTCAACGGGTGTGTCCAACCTAGACACAGTCAAGAACGCAGCTAAGTTAGCCGTGTAGGATGCAATGATAATAAAACCAAACAACCACCACGTAGCAGCAACAAGTCGACCAGATAGATTTTTAGGTGCTTCACCACCGCCCTGAGGTGTCAATGAAGTCATACAAAACCAGAGACACTCTTTCAAGTTGAATTCACGTTTCTCTTCATCATCCTTATACTTTTCACGATTGTTTTGGTAGCTGTACGGGGACCAACGATCAAAGACCCACATCAGAAAACTGGTGAAAAAATAGGCGGCCAGGATACACAGCCATACACTGTGTTCAAGCACAGTTAAAAATTTGAACAGGGATGTTTGTTGTTCAGGGAGTTTCATGAGAATTGTAATACCAACAAGATCGTAGTATGGTACGGTAAAGTCAATGACGTTTTCTCGTTCTGCCATGACGGACATGGAGCCTAGACCAATATCAACTCGTTTCTCCATTAGTTCTTTAACAACGCCGTTCCACTGACCGTTGTCGTCCATGTTTCCAAACTTGCCATCACTAACAACTGTGATTTCGTAGTCAAATTTCAAGCTTTTTGCGATTTCGTCAATGAGATCAATGCAATATCCATTGAAACCACTCCTATGACTTTTGTCTCTAAATATGAACGGCTCTTGCTATAAGAAATACATAAAAATATTTAGAGAAGAACATTTTTACTAAATGAAAACTATTTACAATCACAGTGGAGATTCGGTAAACTACGTCCGCAGTGTAATTCGTCATGGACGCAGCATCTGTCAAAACAAGAGGATTGTTAAATCCAGCGTCCCATTGCCCCAATGGTATTGACTTATCAGAAGAAGACCCGCGGATACCAACTGCTGTTAAACTCATTGCAAATTTCATCTGGCTTTCTCCGTTTTCTTTGATGAGGAATGGTCCGTATGTTGGGGGAGCATTCTCGGTCCAATCCTTTTCAATGTATTTTTTTAGATCCAAATTGGTTCGGACTGGTTTGTTTTTGCCATTGTAATCATCACAGCTGAGATATTGAAAGTTTGCTGGCCATCCACCATCAGTCATCATATCCTTAACAGCAATAAAAGCGTGCAGAGCAAGGTCAAAATAAAAAGCAGCTGCAATCTCAGGATCTGCATTCAACTGAAAACCTGTACGGATCTGTCCATTGCGGTCCTGATACTGATTGTCCAAAATGGGCTTTGCGAACATGATGGTAGCATTGTCACAGTTACACTTTAGATCTCCCTTGTCTTGAGTAATGGCGTGCCATGCAAACTTACGATTGAAATATTTCAATTCGTTACCCGCATCAAGGACCAACTTGATGTTATTCAAGCTGCCCAAGACGAAAAAGTTTACAATATCAAGTTTGCGAAGGTTTTCAATTTGCTCCTTGGGATCTGCTTTGATTTCCGTAATAACATGACGCGTCGCGACGTTTTGCAATAATGATTTAAACTTGTGGTCCATCACTAATAATGACTAGTATTGTAAGGTACTTAAATACATTTAAACCGCAATCTTACCAAAAGATGGATCATACAAAATGGCGGCGTTGGAGATGTTTTGATTCAGGACAATCGACCGTACAATTTCAGGGATCACATCACCCGGAGGCATGATTTGTATAAGGTACTTCTTTTCTGTGTCGTCTATAGTCCGCCATTGTCGAAGGTCACCCGGTTGACCAAAGGAACCACTTACTGTTGGTAAAGCCAGTGCCTGCGTGAACGACTTGACCGTTTCGGAAGCCATGCCTGTCATGGTGGTGTCCAACACAAGGTGAGGCTTCTTGGTAGCGTCCATCGCTGTGTACACCTGGCATACTATCAAAAGTATTAAAAACAAAATGGCTTCCTTGAAGGTTTGTTTAAGGTAGGCAACATGATATTGACTTACATGAATCTAAAGTGCCTTTAGCGTCCGTACGATTTCCCACCACGCGCTCAATCTCAACCTTGATCCCTACATTGATATTGCGTTTGACATACTCCAGAGCCACCTCCACAGCTTTCTCCGCCACAAGATTACCTTCTTCGTTTACGTAAACTGTGCCCAACAAAACAAACAAGTAAATGTCTCTCAACAAATGCAAAACATGAATAAATAAATACTTACGGACGTTGATGGTCTGCGTTGTCTGCGAATCAACAAGTTTGATGGCGAGGATAATCACGATCAGAACGTGCATCACTTTGATGGTGTCCATTTTGCACCCTTTCTTTACCACAGCGATTCAGGAGCGTCACGCATGTCGCCGTGGCACGTTCACTTATCTACTCCGATTGATCGCAAGCTCGGCAAGCTCACACCCTGGCCGAACGAAAGGACATCACATACGTGTAGCTTTATTTGTTGCTAAGTGATGACTGCGCTATACACAGACAACACCATCAATAATTCAACTATTTCGTTACGCTAACAACAAATGTGCGCGTTCCGGTAATTGCGTTTTTATTATGCGCCTCGCACTTGACCAGTGTTGGACACGGAAAGTCGCTTGGAAAATGTGAAATTCCTGTTTTCCAGCGTTGAATTGTATAAACAATGTTTATGAAAATTGTTGGGGCTGATCAATACTTGAAACCTCGTTGTAGTCAATACGCAACGTGCAATTGACTATCGATTGATATAAATGCTTTCTAAATTATTTTTTAATAATAAGCAATAAATATTGTATGCCAATTATTTATTTATAATTTATTTTACTTTTAATATAAAATATTAAAATATGTGTGAGTAATTATTATTTATTAATGCCATTTTATTTAATTTAACTAATTTATAAACATTAATTTTAATTTATTTGAAATAAAATTACATCAAAGAATAAAACAAAAATTTAAACTGAAATGCAGTTAAAATTATTGATTTTAACTACTTAAAGGGTTCCGGGTAAAATAAGTTGCCTATCTTAAAACATAGAAATCTAAAAAGCCATTTTAATTTCCAACTACTACTAAATTTACCAAAATTATATCGTATCCTCAATTATACTTAAATGTAATGATTAATAATGGTAACAATAGTGCACATTACCAAACCCAGCCCATAGCTACTTTGTTTATAAACATCAATACCATCAGCAGTCAAATACTCATCAAGTTTTTCTTTATTACTTTCTGTCCAATCAATATTAGCTTGAGCTGTAGCTATAGCTGCATCTGCCACTTTGGCATTCTCTTCAAGTGCCACCCGGTGCGTCTCTACAAATTCCTGAAACTGTACCAATTCAAATATTAGCATATGAAACATAATTTTCCTGCCTTTTCTGTATTACCTGTTTTAAATGTTCATTTCTTAACTGATCACCAAGAGCAGATATGGCTTTAGTCATATACGTTTGTGGAATGCTTGTAAACTTGGAGTTTAGGAATTCAATGGCAACATCCATTGATTCCGGATTACCGTCAAGTACAGCCTTGAAAACATTGATGCCATCGTGTTTCCGAATTTCCACAGGATTCACAGAAAGTTCCAGGTAATTTTTTAGTAGTACTTTGTCTTTGGTACATCCTAGCGCTGTCAGAATAACTTCCTTCTCGTTAGCTACTAAACTTTCCTTATATTTGTTATACAGGAAATTCCAATCATCGCTTACGTTGGAGTGACGCAATGCTGAACAATACACCACATTACGAACGTTGGCATTTATAGGTCCAAGTCTGGTGGTCATTCCTGAGTAAAGTTCCTTTGCTTCCTTAATACAGTCGTCATTCTCAAGCAGGCAACGCCATTGCAGAGCCAGGACCTTTGCGTACACTTCTGAATAAGCCATGTTTTCATCCACATGGAATCCTTTGTAGGTAGTCCATAAGTTACCCATCAATTGATTGATTTGTGCCTATAATTATTGAAATTAATAAATAAGAACAACATAAATGAAGTTTACTTGTAAACATACTGAAATACGATTCCCTAGGTCACTTCCACTAAAACGTTTCTGCAGGTATGTAAAAGACAACATGGCGGACTTCCATGGATGATATTGACTTTCATATTGTAGATAACCTAACAACCTAAACGCAATATCATATGAAAGCTGTTGTGCACGTGCCAGATTCATGGCGTCATCGATAAGTTGAGCTCTGGTGACATCATCGATCAAAGCATGATCTGTCCATAGTTGTTGAATAATATCTTCCCACAAATTCTGGTCGTAATTTACACGGTAATAACCCATCCTCATGGGATTTATAATTACAGTAGCATTCTTAAAAACCTTCAGGGTAACATTAAGTCCAGGTTTTAAGAGTTGAGCAAATATGGGTCCTTTAGTATCATTAACAACTTGGTACCAGATTGGCACGTACCAGGTAGTATCCACTATGTCCTCTGGTCTGCTATAGAAAAATTGTTTTTGTGATAGTGTGATAATTTTATATTCACCCTCGGTATTGGTAAATATAACATCTACAACTGGATAACCAGGTTTCTCAATCCAATTGCGCATTACATCCTCAAAGCTTTCGTTGTTTACAATTCCAAAGACTTCAAATAGATCATTTGGTTCGACAGCTTCGTTTTTACTGAAAATTTGTATAAATTACTTCATTTTAAAGAGTGTATAAATTTTAAAACTTACTGTTGGGCCAGGTAAGTATTGAGATGCTTCAAAAAGTTTTTACTATCAATGTATCGCATCATACGAATAATAGATCCACCTTTGTTGTAAGTAATAGAACCAAATTTTGCTCGAATTTCGGGAACAGTATAGGCGGCGCTAGTCAACGGTAGAGAGGACGCTCCGGCATCAGTTTCCATAATCGGGATCATCTCGTTGATAACAAATTGTTTTTCTAATTCGAAACCTTTCGCAACTGCAACACCTCCCAAACCATGGTACTCGAAGTAATTAGCGAAACCTTCGTTTAACCATGTTGTGTCCCACCATTTTGTTGTAATCCAATTACCAAACCAATTATGTGTGAATTCATGTGCGATTACACGAAGTAAGATTTCTTTGGCCCAAATTGTAGACTCACTGGGACTCCATAACAATTTACTTTGCTTGTAAGTAACAAGTCCCCAATTCTCCATCGCACCTGCTGCAAAATCAGGTACAGCAACCTGATCTAGATGTTTCATACCCATCATATCAAAAGCAATATTTTGACCTCCAGAGTTGAGCTGATTGCTAAGATTTTCGATAATTTTATAGGAAACCTGGGCGGCAAAATCCGCCTGACCAACAACATTCCTCGGAGTCCAAATAGCCATTGGTAGCAAGTTGGATGATACTACTTTTGACTCATAATTTGACACTACAAATGCTAATAAATACGTTGACATTGTTGGTGTATCCTCAAATTCTGTAACTTTCATATTTCTGCGGATAAAAAACTATTTTAAGTATTCTAATATCTTCATCCTAAAAGATAGTATTACCTTGGGATTGGGACTTCTTGACCTGGCTGGTTACCCAAAACATGATAATCGTTTGGTGTGGTAATCGACATACTAAAAACTGATTTGAATAATGGTTCATCAAAACAAGGAAACGCTCGTCGTGCAAAGGTAGGTTGAAACTGAGTCGATGCAATGATTTCATCAGATTGATCCACAGTACTAAGGTAGAACCCATTCATATCTTCGTACAGAGTACCAACGAACACAAATTTTAAGCTGAAACTTTGTCCCTCCTGGTATGCATCTTCAAGAGGAATTTCCATAATTTCTGTGTCCTTGTTGTATTGAATCTTGTTGAGATCAAGATTTACTTGTTCTAACCACACCTCAGTCAGGACCATTTCTGGAGCTTTGTGAAGTCGTACCATCTGCCTATTACCATCATTAACCATCACAGAAATTCGTGTGGTACCCGTAAAAGTTTTCTTTGTAACAAAATCGTCGTCCAGAGTTATATGAATATCATAGCGTAATGGATTGTAATTGTTACCAAGTCGATAATCATCATCCAATGATCCATAAGCACCATGGTTCAACAGGAACACCGCAATTACCATCCATGCAATCCAATTCATTTTGATCCCAGCCCACACTGAGTATAAACAAATGAATTTAACTTTTGTGGTAAATTTTAGTTAGCTGCAACTAACAAATGTTCAGATTGCAGTTGGAACGTCAACTGTGCGAGAATTCCAATGACAAGGTGATATTTATGGCCACATTCTTGGATTAGTATTTCTATATCTCCTTGGTTGTAAATTGTAGACTTAGAGTGCATTAACTGATATTAGAAGGAAAAATATTGAGGATTTGCAAATAATCCACAAAGACTACAACAGTATCAACAAATATGAACAAATACCTTAGAGATAAATGCAAGTATAAAGTGTTAATGCAATCATAAATAAAGCTATTGATGTTTTACTAATAGTAATAATAATAGGGGTAATAAAGTGATAATACCGGCAATAAAATTAAAAAAAAAGAGAATAATTTTAATCCCAATTTATTTATATTTATTTATACAACGTATGAAAGTTAGTATGTTACATCGAAATTAAAGTTATATAAATAAAGCATTGTGTGAAATGAAGTAAGTATAATTAAAAATATTTAAACAAATCGCGCCACGAAGCATGCAAGTAGTGCCAAGAAACCGGTAGTCGCCAGACTATTGGCACCGTCATCTGTTGGTGGATTTAAGGCATCACCAAGCTCGTCTTTCACCTTGTCTGCCCATTGAATATTGGCTGATGCGGCGTCAATTGCGTTTTTTGCTATAGTCGCAGCTTCTTGAAGTTTCCCCTCATTTTTTTCAACAAATTTCTTGAACTGCAAAACACACAAAATATGTTATTATTTGAAATTATTACCACTTTTATTATCTAATAATTGCTTACGGTATCTAGCTGATCTTGTTTGGTAATACTATCGGCAACCTGCTGAATAACGTTGGATAATGCTCCCATGGATCCATACGTTTCAATAATTTTGTCAATATTTGTGTCTAAGAAATCCATCGACAGCTTAACTTTATCGGGGTTAGCGGAAATCACAGCTTTGAAAACGCTGCTGGCGTCTTGTTTACGAATATCAGTGCCTTTCAAAGATTTCTTCAAATAGTTGTTTAAGAGTTTTTCGTTTTGGGTGCAGCCGAGTGCAGCCAGGAGAGTAGCTTTTTCGGCGGCGTTCGTAGAAGTCGTGAATTTCGTCCACAAGGTATTCCAATCGTCTTCATCAGTTGAAGAGTGTCTCATTCCAGAGCAGTATACGAGGCTTTGCAGATTAGGGTCGACGGTATCAGCACGAGTCTTGGGTAGGAACAAACCACTGGCATTCTCAATGCACTCCGTATTTCCCAGTTTGCACGCCCATTCTAATGCCAGCACTTTCTTGTAAACGTTGATAGCCTTTAGATTAACAGTGGTAAAATCCTTGTTGTCATTGTAGAATTTCTCCATAATTTTGTTGAGGGTGTTGGTAATCTGGGTATTGAGAGCATCGTCCACTAATCGCTTTCTCAAGTAGGACACTGCAGTAAAAGCGGCCTTCCATGGATAGTACTCCTCCTCCTTCTCCAAGTATTGAAGAAGATCCAGGGCAACGTTGTATTTCAGTTGACCGGCACGAGCCAAATTCATAGCGTCGTTGATCAATTGCGCACGAGTTATTACGTCAATCTTATTGTGATCTGTTTTGAGCGTCTTAATAATACGACCCCACAAAGCATCGTCGTAGTTAACTCTGAAGAAACCAAAGTTCTGTGCATTAAGTATGACCAGTTCATTATCTTCAAGTTTATCAAGAATGATTTTTGTTTCTTCATTAGGAGTTAAGAACTTTGGAATTTCACTTTCGGCTCTAGCTGAACGGATATTTCTGGATAATGTTTCAACGGGGGGCTCTTCGCCGCTACTTGCAGAGGTAGACTCGCTTGAAGATTCGCTGCTACTTTCAGAGCTGGACTCGCTTGAAGATTCGCTGCTACTTTCGGAGCTGGACTCGCTTGAAGATTCGCTGCTACTTTCAGAGCTAGACTCGCTTGAAGATTCGCTGCTACTCTCAGTGCTAGAATCGGTAGAAGATTCGCTGCTACTTTCAGAGCTGGACTCGCTTGAAGATTCGCTGCTACTTTCAGAGCTAGACTCGCTAGAGGATTCGCTGCTACTTTCAGAGCTGGACTCGCTAGAGGATTCGCTGCTACTTTCAGAACTGGACTCGCTTGAAGATTCGCTGCTACTTTCGGAGCTGGACTCGCTAGAGGATTCGCTGCTACTTTCAGAGCTAGATTCGCTAGAAGATTCGCTGCTACTCTCAGAGCTAGACTCGCTAGAGGATTCGCTGCTACTTTCAGAGCTGGACTCGCTAGAAGATTCACTGCTACTTTCAGTGCTAGAATCGGTAGAAGATTCGGTGCTACTGTCGGTACCGGCAGTAGTATCGGTAGTAACTGAATCATCGCTTAATAGTACATCCACATGAATTGGTATATACCATTTCGTATCGCTGGTATCATTACCGTAGAAAAATTGTTTTTGTGTTACTTCAACGGCTCCGTTCTTTAAACTGACTGTAACCACGGGATATCCAGATTTGGTAATCCAAGCATCCATCACTGTTTTAAACGGTACAGCTTTGTTATCAATATTGATTGAACCAAATTTGGAGAAAAGGTCATCCGGCACCGTATTTCCGCTTTCAAATTCCCTGAAAACATTTACAGGTGATATGGGACGTTGACTAACTCATATTATTCATTCACCAAAAATGAAGAAAACAAAGTACATACCTGAGATATTCCTGCAATACTTTGTTAAATTTATCTTCCCCAACAATTTTCTCCATCATCCGGACGATTGATCCTCCCTTGCTGTACGTGATGCTTCCAAACTTGCCTTGAATCTGATCTACCGTTTGGACTTCGGTTTCCTTGCTGCTCAGAGGTCCAGCATTAGCATTACCATCAATTTCCATGACAGTATGCATATCTTCAAGCACGAACTGCTTTTCTAATTGAAATTCCTCCATTGCTTCAATGCCAACAAGTCCGTGCGATTCAAAATATGTTGCAAATCCTTCATTTAGCCAAGTGTCACTCCACCATTTTGTGGTCACCAAATCACCAAACCAACTGTGGGCAAACTCGTGGGCAATTACATTAGCCACACGTTGTTGTTCTTTCTTAACATTTCCAGTGGTAAGAAGAGCAGTATCGCGATAGGTCATCAAACCCCAGTTTTCCATGGCCCCAGCGGCAAAGTCTGGAATTGCTACCTGGTCCAAGTGATGAATGCCCATTTCATTATAGGAGTAGCCAAACCGTTCTTCCAACTTCGTAATGATGTGGCGTGAGTGTGTTTTTGCGTAATTTGCTTGACCTTTCAATGAATCTGGTGTCCAAATTGACATAGCTAGTTCATCAGTCTCTCCATCGATTTTGGTTTCTACAAACTCTGATACCACAAACGCTACCAAATAAGTTGACATTTTTGGAGTTACTTCAAATTGATATCTATAAATACAATAGTTATTTATTTTTAACGATAAAATCTAGTCATAAACTATTACTTGTTGTTGGTTTCGGTTCCAGGTTGATTGCTAAGCGCTGAAAAACCCACGGGAGCTACAATGCTAATTTTAAACGTTGCTTTGTACTGAGGCTCGTCGAAACATGGGAATGCCCGACGTGCATAAGTCGGTTGGAACTGGGTGGTTGCAATCGTTCTGGAAATCATACAGAGCATATATTATCCATACGAATCAGTTAAATCATTATTTAACTACCAATTAGCAAACCTGATTAATTTCATACATCTAGGGCCTATAATATGCATTTTAATTTTATAATGGTTTTTAAACGTCATCGAATAATATAAATGAAACTACCATATTAACTTCATTTTATATTTTACACTAATAATTAAATTTAGTAATTTCGGTGTTAATTTTTACATGATTACTAACTGAGTTAATTTGAAAATTATCTGAAAATTTTATCCAAATGGGTCCAGCCGTATTGAAATATATAAATTACGTACATATCATCAAATATCATTTGAGTAATTAATTTTTATATAAAAAACATTGCGTTGAGATTAATATAAATTTTCTAGCAAAAATGCGATGTTAAATTGATCGAATATTAATTTTTATAACTTACTTGTCAACGCTAGGTTTGCTCAAGTAAAATCCATATAAACTGTCTGTGTATAGCTTTCCTCGGTAGACGAATTTTAATTCAAATGCAGCAGTGGGTACCGAATCCAACGTAATTGTCATAATTTCAGTATTTGTGTTGTATTTTAAATTATCTTCCTCAATTTTAACATTGTTGAGTGAAATGTTGACAGTTTTTTTTATTTCTTCATCCATGTGCAATTGAATTATTTTCGATTTATCATTTTTCGGTTTGTCTATTTTAATATTGACCACCCCATCAAACACCTTAGTAGTGGCAAAGTCGTCTTTAACTGTAAGGTCAATGGTATATGCAGTTGGTATGAAGTCGCCATTAAGTCTATAAGTATCTTCGCGGGCGGTGAGGGTCACTGGATGGGCAAGACTATGTCCGCAGAGGAGCAGAAGCAGCAGCTTCAGACGCACGATCAGCATGATTGTGTTGAGGTGGCACTATCACTGCACTGAATTTTCGAATAACTTCGCAAATCACCGTACAATATGTTTGCTGGTACCAGCAATGACCTGAACGCAATTCGGCTGCTGCCTTTATACCAATCGAGTGAATCTTATCGGAATACATCTCCCGATAATTCTCCGATCATCGATCGAGTGATCGATAGATTTCGAATACAAAAATGTTATCGTTCTCATTTGTTAATTACATATGATTCCGTCACGTTGGAATTGCTTAACGTGGAAATTGGCGTACATGTTTTTTTTCTTTAGTGGCGGCATATTGTTTCATGCCCAGGATGGGTGATGTTTGGGTAAATGCGTTGGCGATTAGATTTCGAGCATCTAAAGTGGCCGATGCGTAGTGACATTTAGCATGCATGCGGACATCAAGCCCAAAAGTAACGCAATCAATTACAGGGCTTAAAAGCATCCACAATGTGGAGCATATTCGAGATTCACGTTGCGCATCGATTTCATGTGGAATGCAGAATAAAATCTATGGTATAACATAAAACATTCGAAATGCTATATCTAGAAAGAGGCTTTCATAACTATATCCCTGCGATTGGCAATATAGATAACATTTATTTGTTCTGGTATTTTGTGAGGAGAGCTGAGATAAGGTTAAAACAAATACTTTTGGTTATCATCGTATATATTATAAACACTCGTGTATTGTTGTCTGACAAAAATGATGATTAAGCAATGGATTTGATATTGAATCACCATATGATGTTTTACATCACCTATGAAGAGGTAGTTAGCAACATGGCGGCCGATGATGGTGTATCGATGGCCGATGTGTTTTGTTTTCTTGTTTGCCAACGCCGACCGACATTGCCGATTCGGTCTCCACCTGAATCATGTACGCGTGCGACCATATGAGCCCCGGCTTCCTTCCGTCGGGCATCCCTCGCCGCCCTTGTTGTGTTACAAAGCGTCTCGGCAAAAAGCCGACGCGCGATAAGCACTCGAAGCTCGGAGCGCCCTGTATGCGTCCTGCTCGACAAAGCGATGCATATGTAAGCGACGAGGGGGTGCAAAAGCAAACAAACCGGCTGCGAGTAGAAGCCTGCCTCTCTGCTCTAATATGCATGAGTCTCGTCCTCGGCGTCTTGCCGCCGCGAAGAAAAACTCGCGGGAGGATGGAGGAGGACTGTGTGGGCATTGTGCGAACGGCCGCGCGCGCAAATTTCGCATTGGCTCCAGGCGAAATTGCCGCTTTTGTGTCCGCGAATGACGTCTGAGGGAGACGACGCGGACACACATTTTAAAACTTTAACACGCCGCCACCGCGCATCCCGGTGGTGTTGTGGTGGCCGGCAAAAAGTGTCTATTTATAGATAGCAGGAATGGTCCGCTTCGGCAGCGGCCGCGCTGATAAAAGTTGAAATTGTTGATGCATACGGAGACTAGTTTGCGTCACATGTTTGCACAACGCGGCTAGTAATTACGTACTGCGCAAAGGGGTGCAACTCACTTTTTGTTACAACTTTCACGATTCGTGGTTGACGAATCTTACGCAAATATACTCATTATGGTATATAACTATTTTATTTATTCATAATCTCATGAACACATGAGTATCTTCTACTGTAAATGATAACCAAAGCATTCATTACAGCTTTTACATAATTTCTGTTGTTGAATTCTAAAACAATCAAAAAAAAATCAAAATTTAAACACAAAGTTTTATTTTTACTAAAATTTTTATACGACTGGTGTAAATTTGGTTGCCTAACACCAATCACGTGATGTTATTGTAACTACTATTCTAAAGTAACTTTTATTTCTCACTAAACAGTTGAAAAAGTTGGCAACTTTACAAGTACAACAGGTTGCCTAATTACCTAGAGTTTCACTTGTCAACTCGGTCAAACTAAAGTAAAGTTGAAAAAGTATAGAAACCATAAGTTCTCTGTTTCTCTTGAGCGCTATGAACAAATAAATTTTTCTACCGTGCAGCGTCGCACATTTCAAACATGTTCGTGCAAAGCAGGTAAAACGCTTGCGCTACCGGGGTGACCGGCGCCACCACCAAGCTCGTGACGGCATCGCATCCCCCGACTACGGCTGTTCGCGTCGAAGGCGCGCATTCGGCGCGTGTGCTCTTCGGACGGCGGGACGACGCGCTCTCGATTGCCATCGTGTTGCGTGCGACGTGTGCGACTTATCAAACCACTTCAAGACACTATCATCGTGCAAACAGTATGAACGAGTAAGTAATCGAGCATTAGTTTCGAAAACTTTCAAATTTAATTGCACCACACCAATCACTTGACTTTTATTAAACTGATTTCAATAGATTTAATCTATAAACAACTAATAGGCACCTTGAAATACATTTTTGTTCGTTTGGCTTTTATCAGTTCGACTACACTCGAATAGTCTGTTGAAACATTTAAAGTAACTTGTAGTATTCGCAGCAAGCTGGAAAATTTTCGTTTCTATAACTTATTCAAAGTTTCGCGGACCTTTTTTCTTCGTACAACGCCAAATTTGTACGAATTCAAACATTTTTCATCTTTTACCTACTTCTAGCACACTTTATTCCTCTACTTTTAAGTTTGTCACATGGACTTTAACACTGCGATTCGGAGTTTCTTGTTTGTAACTTTATTACCTCAACGCTTGCTGAATGCGAGCGGCTTTTCGATGTCAAACAGCGCATCGATTCAACTCCAGCACGCATAATGGCTGGGATAAAGCGGGAGTTCCGCGAGATTTACGTCCGAACTATTTACGTGTCAAGCGAGCAGCCGAGCGACAGGTGCTTTCACATCGCGCAACTTTGAATTATCCAAAAGGCCTCCATGTCACTTCACTTTCCGCAGATAAACCGATCAATTAATCAATAAAACACATCGGATATTAATTTCATGGAATACAAGTGTTTAAAAAAATACGTTCCTGTCAAAAATAAAGCCGGAGCGATTAATTAATCAATCATTGAAATGGGTATTACGTTTTTATTGCCTCCCAATGTACGCGTACGCGATTCGGATGCTTACACATCTTCATTACGTGCTCGTTTTAATGCATAACTAAACGCATCGAACATCTGCCAATTCCGCGTACGAGCAGAAAGCAATTTTCCGGCGCGTTCTCAGAAATGAATGAGAAAACCTCGAAAACGTCTTTATTGCGTGTTAAATTATTAACACTCTCCATCAGCGTTCAGCATTCGAGAGACACAAGACTGGTCTTTGCCGAAACGGAAAAGTTCCCGTTTACGATTTGTATGTGAATGCACGAGGAAACTCCGGCGATGATTGATTTTTATGCGAAACAACCCACCAGATGTGCGAAAGCAATCGATCGTCTATACATTGCACGCGTATGCTTTACGAAGCGTTAATGAATTAAATTAATTTCAGTTAATTATAAAGGTTTTTGCACGCATGGAAATTTTGTTAATCAGATTTCGACCAGCGCGCGGGCGTGAATAGTTTTCGGGCGCGTCGTTAATGCTCTTAACGTGTGCAACGCACTCGATTTGCTTAGCGCGTACATATATGTTATGTATAATAATCGTATGCGTAAATCTCATAGATTTTAACACAACCCTTGTATGAACCTGGATTGAAATTTAGATTATCTTACATTTAACATAAGCCCTATCAACACAGGGAATTTTTACCTTAAAATAAAAAAATCTATGGTGAGTTGTCATTATTTTGACAATCAAATTGCCCGCGATTTCATCCCGGTAGTGTGTACTAAAAATGTACTTTGTTTTTACTCTCTTTTTCTAAACATAATATGTGTCAATTTTATCAATAATATTCGCAATTTTATTTTAAAGAAATTAATTATATAAAGAATTGCTAATAATGCACATCAGCGCGCCATCTTGGATTCAACTATTTAACTATAACTATGATTGATTCTCAATGTCAACTTTTTTCCTATAGAAAAGGGCTGTCTTTAGGGTTTTCCCGGCAATTATTCAAATTTTTCTCGCCGTAAAAACCATCCTTGGACTTTAACACACATTTTAAAAAAAGAATTGGCCAAATTTGTCTAGGCGTTGTTGAGTTATGCGCTTTACAACAGATTTTGCGATTCATTTTTATATTACAGATTTTTGGTTTAGATGTTTTATAAGCCGAGATAAATTAAAGTGTATTCTCGTTGAATGGCTGCTCTCATGTAATTTTTAACGTAATATCTGACACAAAACTGGATATTATTCATTTGGAAAAATACAAATCTTGAAACAATTTTATATCAAATATTTCTCAAGTATTGCTATTTTTCAGCGATATATCAGCATGATTTGCTATCAAATCATCTTATTATTACATCTGGTTGACTTTTTTATCAGTCTAAACAAGTGGTTTAAAATTGACCTAAAAACCACACTTTAAAGTAGAGTTAGTGCGTGAATTACGCATGAACACTTCATATACACTTTACATGCTATTCTCGTTTACTCTCAGATAAAACTATATTGAACTATGAGACATTATTTAATACTAATTATTTAATTGACTAATTATTTCGAATTAATCAAATTTTGAACATATTTGAATCGTGAATTACTAATGAAAACTATCCAACTCATCATTTTCACAATTTGCACATACTATTATTCCATAATGAGCCAAACACTGCGCACATATTCATCAAATAATATCAGTGCGCTGATTTTGAATGTAAGTTAATTTATTGATGAACAAGTCTGTGCAAGTCTGTGCATCCAGCGCAAGATGATGTTTGCAGATAATATAATATTAATCGCACACTCAATGTGATTTAATCATTGCGTGTGTTGCGAAATAAGAATTGAGTTACGTGCGATATTTGAGCAATGACAAACTCGCAGTGGCGTAATCCGATTCACAATCATTCTCGACGTTTGGGAATTAAATTTACTCCAGATGCATTTGATTACAGCACCTTCATATCCAAAATTCTATTTTTAATCAGCAAATTTTATTTTTCTATATATAATGTTCTAAAAGCTACAAAATAAATATTTCTATACATAAAATTCAAAATTTGTTGTAATTTGTTTCTTTATTTAGTTTTATCTTGATGGATATCAATCTACAAAGGTTTTTTGTACAAATAAAGCAATTATACTCCATAGTGTAACCTATTTCAACAATAAAAAAATTTGAAATTGATAAGATTTAATTCCTACTTGGTGACAAATCGCTGTGTTTGCAGACAAGCTGCGCGGGTGCGCGAGTAAACATCAATCCGACGACAATATTTATCGATATCAAACAAGAAACACGCACGCATGTAAGATGCGCGTACGACAAGATCAACACAAATAAAAAGCGATCGCTCCGAGCTTAGACTTTTAGCCAGTGCGCCTGCTTTGTTCTTTCAAGTTCTTGACGCGTTCGCGGATTGAATTATCAATGCTGGCGGTTTTACCACGGTTGTCGTCTCCGATCTTCCGCACGCTGAAGGTTAGGTGACGCTTTGGTGTTGATTGATCATTTCCGATGTTTGCCTCGGCGGCGTACTCGTCGATTGAGTTTCGATGCGGTGCGCCAGTTGGCATCCGCTGTTTTCCGAGGCAAAATTATGCAATTACGCTGGCAAAATGCGGAAAACCGCTTTTCGACTGCGTCGCATTTTAACTACATTGCAGGTGCTATTTGCTATTTTGCAATGCAGTTAGGGTAAATGAATAACGCAGCGCGCGATGGTCTTTCAAGGTCGGCGGTAGCGCGAAGTCGCGTCAATAAATATTTATGCGCACTTGTAAACTAACAGCGCGTGGGTGTACGAACTGTTGATCGCCGCCGGATGCGCAAGCAGCAATCAAACAAGTGGAAATTGCATTTGTCTGGTTCACCTTCCAATTTTCTATAACTGCATCAACACCACGTTGAAAACTCAATCAGTTTTTCATATCCTTTAACATTTACAATAATAAAACTTTACTACTAACGTCATCTATGACCATAAAAAATAATTTATTCAGTTATTTGAAAACCAAGAGTTTGTTTAAGAGAATAATTATGTTGTTATGATTGCAGAAATGGTGTCGATGACATACGGCAATAAAATACTCGCGAGCATCGCCATGAACGAACGCATTCGTCATCGTAATTGAGTCCAGGCGCGTCGAAGACAATGGAAAACTACACAGAATCGTCGGAGAATTCGAACGCCAACAAAACAACCGCGATCTTCTCGATAGGCCCGGACTGGTTTCAAGAATGGTGAGTGTGTGCGGCGAGCATGTTTTACAGGAACAAATCGATCGGGGGCGTTTATTGCGAACGCAAACGCCTCTCAATTCGAGCGAAAGGATGCGAAAAATTGCCTGCGCAATGTGTAAAGTTCGCAAATCGAAAACGAACCAAAACGCAATGACACCGACGCTATCATAGCGTCACGCATTTTGACATAGATACCAACAGTTAACAAAAACAGAAATAAATAAATTTACAATGCGTGAATATTTCAACACTCGCAATTTATTAAAATATAAATTTTGAGATGAAAAGTTATTTTTTGTTTTTATTGATGTATGAATGATTGATATATTTATTTATAGTAATTGTGATATTTTTTGATTTTATTTCCCTTTCGGTATGTTTTCCGATTGTAAAACGAGGTTGGAATTTTTGAATGTAAGTTTGGTGACTTTTTGTCGAAGTGGCTGTAGGAAGCGTTTGAGGTTTGCGTGTACAAACATCTTGTTACGGCCCAGACTCGTTTTTCAAGCGCGCCCAGGTTGTTAGTTCCTCAAGCGGAAAATACGCTTTTCCACCGCGCCGTGGACCAAATTTTTCCGACAACGTTTTGCCAGTCGGATTCATCATCCATCTTCTTCATTTCGGTCATTGATTCCGAAAGCTAACATTTTAAAACATCAATAATTTCAAATATTTACATTTTTCTGCGTATGCGCAATATTATAATATTCGCTATTTTTATAACGATTTATAACTAGCTTTTGCCTGAGATTTGGTCCCGGTAGTGTTAAATAAAAATGTTATTCGTTTTTACTCTCTTGTTCTAGACATAGTATGTGTCAATTCTATCCATAAGATTCGCAATTTTATTTTAAAGAAATTAATTATATAAAGAATTGCTAATAATGACTTCAGCGCGCAATCTCGGATTCAACTATTTAACTATAACTATGATTGAATCTCAATGCCAACTTTTATCCTATAGAAAAAAGCGGTCTTTAGGGTTTTCCCGGCAATTATTCGAATTTTTCTCGCCGTAAAAACCATCCTTGGACATTAACAACCATTTAAAAAAAAGAATTGGCCGAATTGGTCTAGGCGTTGTTGAAATATAAAATGTTATTACGTAAATAGGAGATAAATATATTCCAGGACGTGGTTTCTATGTTGTTGACAAAATAAATTGTTCAAAGGTGAAGTTAAACGCACTCGTACAGTTGTTATCTGCACGAATCGTCCGGATTAATGCACGATTACGCGTTGTCCGCAAACAGCGCGCGCGGAACACACAAAGTTAAACGCCGCTGCCGGAAAACAAGTAACGAGTCGCACATCAAAAGACTCGAAAATCGCCAACTTTGTTACGAAGTCGACGAGGCATGTAATTATGCGCGCAATGCGCGCAATTTCTTCGCCGCTGACGGTTTCGATTTCGCGCACAATTTTACTAATTGGGATGACGGTTTGACAAATACTTCATTCTGGCCGTCGTAGAAGTTGAAAGACGGGGGAACTACAAACGGCTCAACGCAATCACAATCACAATCACAAGCAACTGTAGACGAAAAAAAGCCAGCGCATTTTTCGACTGCGGCGCGTTGATGATGATGATGTCGACGTGCTTCCAACGCTGATGAAATTGCGAAATTCACAGCAATATGGCTTGGTGGTGCGTTATCATGAGTTATCATCATAGACGCCCGGCGATTGTCACACGAGTTGCAGACGCCCCGCCGAGATCATCATTGTCGACGCGCGTCAAACGGCTGACAATTTACATTTTAAATGGTCATTAAATTGCGAAACGTGCAATCACCTTGTAGTACAACGAAGCATATAGTATCTACACGCAAAATCGCAAACAAGATTTAGGCATTACAAATGTGTTCACATGGTTGCATAATCATATAACACTATATTTTCCTCACCATTGATGAAAACACAAAAAAGAAAATTGTTTTTTCTAGGTTATTAATGTGTTTTCGTTGAGACATTACATAACCTATAAGTACATGTGCGTAAAAACCGGAAAAGATATTCATGCCACTTATGAGAATAAAAAAAAACACACGCAAAAGGTATTCAAGGCACTTTGTACCATTTTTAGCATTTCGAGCACCTCTAGACTCGGATCCTTATCATTTTAATCAATCCATCGCGACTCGGGATTAATTATGCTGACTAATTTTGGATTGAGTAATGTCACAACGAGCTTGCATCATGTGTGGAGTTTAGAAAATTCGAAAACTCATAAAACTGAATGAAATCGGTGGTATTTTTTTCGTTCTCAGTTGAACAAGGTTACGCACTGAAATTGAAACCTTAGCGCCCGGTGGCTTGACGGCAATGATTAATTATTGAAAGCCAATTAAGCAGGCACGTGCTGGCGGACCCGTACGGCAAACACAATCAACAAATGTAAAAAAAAGTTTCTATTCAAAACCAATCTACTCGTAAACAATTCATGATTTAACAAATTTAATTAATAAAAATTAAGCGAACTAATATTATAAACGCAAATGTGAGTTAGTTTGTATGTTTGTGTCGCTTTCAAGCAAAAACCACTTTACTGATTTTGTTAAATTTTGATTGACAAATAGTTTTGTCTATGAAAAAGTACATAGGATATTTTTTGTCACAAAAAAGAATTTAAAAGGTCTGAAATCAGGGATGAAAAAATAACAAACCCAAAAATGCATTAATAACATTTCTTACTGAATTAAAATAAAATGTTGTATAGTTTAACATTAATTATCTATAAATTTAAGGGTTAAAGCTTAACACTCTACGATCAATGATCTTAACAAGGCGTGAATCCACTGCTTGCGAGTCATGTTTGTGCAGAGATAGCATTGCGACACAGGCACCACATCGACGTGTTGCGTTACCGCCGAAATGCGGCATTCCTGTGTGCGTTTATTATGCTAACCGGCGTGCGTTTGGTTGCGGCGATAACCACGTGATGCCAACGCGCGGAGTGTGAAGCACTGCACTTGGCATTTCCGTGGCGACGATGGCGTCGGTTTCACTTGCAACTTGATGTTAGATACATTTTAATCTGCATTTCTGCCGGGAAACGTAGATTAAACCCCAAACTATACATTATACTTTACTAAATTGCTAAGTGCTTTCTGATTATCATATAATTTACACGCGCATATTCTATTTTAATTAGAGTCTGCATAAACCGGAATAAATAAACAGTTTTATATTAAACTAGTTTTTGCCCGAGACTTCATCCCGGTAGTGTTTAATAAAAATGTAATTCGTTTTTACTCTCTTGTTCTAGACATAGTATGTGTTAATTTTATCAATTAGATTTGCAATTTTATTTTAAAGAAATTAATTATATAAAGAATTGCTAATAATGCACTTCAGCACGTCATCTCGGATTCAAATATTTAATTATAACTATGATTGAATCTCAATGCCAACTTTTATCCTATAGAAAATGGATGTTTTTATGATTTTCCCGGCAATTATTCGAATTTTTCTCGCCGTAAAAACCTTCCTTGGACCTTAACAAACATTTAAAAACAAACTTTGGCCATATTGGTCTAGTCGTTGTTGAGTTATGCGCTTACTAACAGAATTTGCGATTCATTTTTATATCATAGATTTATCTCGTGTTATTTACACCTGGAAATTAGTTTTATTTCGAGATTCTTAGAAATAGTAATATAAATCTCAGCATCTTCATAGATAAGGTATATAAATATCATAAATAAATTTATTTCAAGGAAATATTTCGTAAATTTCGTAAATTTTCGAAAAATTGTGTTTCTGAAATTCAATTTTGCTCGAAGTGTTTTTCAACTATGTTCTAATAGTTTATAATCATGTTACGCCACAAATCGCTGTAATTATACACGACCCTAAGGGCACGTACACTTGCGGGGGGCTCAAGTAATTGAATAATGAGTCTAATCGACGAAGGCATTAAGTGCGAGAGCCCTTATAATCCACTATAAATTGTTCGCACCTTGCGGCAAATTCGCAGACTTCAAACTTCCGCGCTGCGTCATTCCGCCAATGACGAATCGATCATAAATTCAAAAATATTATTTACGTATTGATATAAATCCAATCAAGTGCTATGAATTCGGAGAAATTCGGAATTAGTAAACAACAATCAATAATGTATCTATCTTTAGTTTCACAATTGACAGAAATCAATTGAATTTTATTATCACGTTTGTTATCAGACTAATACGGTCTTATAATCTGTCGCAAAAACGCAATCTTATTGTAAATGCGTATTTGCGTAATCCGTACTATAATGAAACAATTACTGGATAATAAAATTTTATTCATGCGAATAATTTTATTCGTTTGCGCAAATTTCTGCCAATAACAAATGGCAATAAAGATAAACAACTGAATGTTTATTGTGATAAAGCTAAATATTATTGTTAATCAAAAGAAAAGACAATATTGAGCCAAATAATGAATGGAATATGAATAAAATTGATTGCGGCGGCTATTGTGAGAATAAACATCGTGAAAATAACGATTTGGTGCAGCCGAGTGCGAAATTTGTGAGAAATAATGCAAATTATGCACAAACGCAGAAAATTCAACCCAGCGTTCGGTTTGGGTATTGTCGTCGCCATCGATAGTTGAAAATGCAAAAACAATGGCATCCTTTGGGTGCGCGTCAGTCGCATGCGGTGGCATGCACATAGAAAACCGCCGCCACCGCTACGACAACAATAACTATAACGGACGCTCGCTGCCGCCGTATATGTTTCCCACATTGTGTTTGTTTCGATGAAGAATTTCAATAGACATTTAACCGCATACCTACCGCTTCCACACCGTGCAACGGCTGTGGATGAACGAACATGACTGACGTAACGGGCGGCGGCAGCGAGATGTGAATAAAGAAGATACGGACAGAATACAAGCGGTTGCTTTATGTGCAAAGTGAAGACAATACGCAAACGCACAAGACACACGCCCGCGACAATGAATTGAATGCGCACGGATGCAAAAACAAGCAAACGAAAAAATTTATTTATTTTATCACAAAATTTATCGATTCATTGTGATTTTTTCCATAAAACAGAAAAAATAAATTGATGAAGTTATTTACTTTATCGTTCAACAGCTGATTATTTTTTTTATTTCATGGGCTTGTCTCAAACAGCAAATCCCGGGATTAATTATTTTCTATTTTCAATATTGTAGAGCGCACATTTACGTTATCACGAGTCTCGGACGTGATTGCATATCGATTTCGATCATATGCGCTTGCAAATTTTCTGATATCAACTCGACCGCAAGAAAATAGAGTCCGAACGATTGGTGGTCAGGCTGCGCGGACAAAACATGTGCTGAGATAGGAAAATCAGCTTTCAATCGCGATGAGTGTTGATGACTTTTCGTCTCATTGCTTTCACACATTTTCAAAAAAATAAAAAAACTTAGAAATATGCATATACTGCAAATATTTTTTTCGTGTTTGACGTTTGAAAGTTTTTAAATAATGCGATTTACAACTGATGTGTTGTAAATTCCTTTACTCAACTCGTCCGCAACATCCGCAAACTGTCTTTGCCGAAAATCCCAGCGCATGTTCCGTCCCGAATCCTGTGAAATCTAGATGTTCATCCAGTCGGGCGCGACGACACTGTCAAGTAGCGGGCGTAATCTAGATTTGTAAAGAAGGATTACGGGTAACGTCGTTTCCGCGCCGCTCGGACGTTCGGGATGTTCGGCGCGCACTTTCTCGAAACTTCAATTTGGACATCATGCGGGCCGGACTTAAATCCGGCGCACTTTTACAATATCCGTCAATTCGGCGTCGAATCCATTTCGGCGCGATGTCCTTTTTATTTTCACAATAACCGGTTTTATTGCGCGCCGCCGAGAGATCTTCATCTCGAGACGCCAGCGAGTTCATCGTGTGTTGTTCAAACATGCTGGGCGCATCCGGACGGACTTACAATACGCTTTGTGATATTCTTCATGTCGGCCCTTTGGGCATATGATAAGTTTTCATGGATTTATCCGCGGCTATCCTGAAACAAGAAAAATTTTCAAAAAAAATTTAAATATTTCTCAACTGCATAACCTCACATAACCTTAAAATTCTATTCGAATAAATATCATACGACCTTGTATGTTACTCCACTAGTAAAGTTATTTAATATTATGGCCGTTTAACATTCGCACTTTTGTATAATCGCACATATAAATTTTCAGTTCGTCGATTTCTTCATTCCAGTGTGCAGTTCGAGTTTTCCGCGAAGGCCACTTACATATTCATTTGATAAAGGCGCGATTACACCGGCAAACCAAAACGAAATCTTGCGTGCATTTTAACATTTACACACGACACACACGACAATGCCATTCGGTCACCGGTTCATGTTTCATTTCCATTCACGTGAAACGACAATAATATGTATTATTTATTTTTGGGCCTAAATGTCGAAAAAGCCCACCTATTGGAATATTTCACTGAAATTTCATATAATCTAATAATTGACGTTGATTGACGTCAATAATTATATTGATTATAAAAATTTACTGTTTTTATCTGCAATATGCAATACATAAATACACGAAGATAGAGGTTATGATTAATTTCGTGACTCAACTGTCAAGTATGAAAAATTGAGATTATGAAAGATTTTTACGTTATTTTAAATGTTTTTGCGTGTGTTTTTAAAACTTGGACAGAAATTGATTTATTGGTTCGCGCGTAAATTCTGTTATTTTATATTCGTTGCGGAAAAAAATCTCGACCCGTCAACCAATAATTTATAGTCACGCACAAGCGCAAGAACCCTGAAACAAAACGCATTCATTAGTTATTTTATTTGCTTGTAATTTGCGAACATTCTCAAGGCATTGCCGGTGCTGGCCGGCTATCTAAATGTGTCGAGGCGCGTCGTCGAGCCGCACACCCTGGCTCTGAAAGGGTTTACGGTGGTTTAATTGATTTTCGCAGGGGTCGAATGTGTAAAAATAGACAAGAGACACCTTCGGCGTTCGACTCTCAACCAGCACCACACCAAACCCTACCTGCGGCAAGCAAAATATTCACAAAATGTTTATATTTTCCCACTGAACTAAAATATACTAGTTTTTAAGTGAAAGAAAAAAATTTATAGAAGTGTCGTCTCGATATGTGTGAAGTTTCTATCCGGAGTTATCTCGTCGCGTCGCATCTCAATGCCAACATCGATACGGAGACAATACATGCGTACGGTAACATGTCGAAGGCCCATCATTATCGGCACTCGATGTTCCAATTATATATGCGCGCGTTGCGTTGCCCCGACATGCTTCACGTTACAATATGTTAACGCTTCCGATAGCTATTAGTAAACTAGGTGAAGCGAGCGTGAATCTATCGCTTCGCCGCCTCCACAGCACACTATACCTGCAATCAAATTGCAATCGCGCTAGATTTTTCATCAACGTAAATCATAATCGCGTAAAACAGTGAAAAACGTAAAAAAACTCACGGAAATTAAATTTGTTAGGTTAGTATTGTGTAGTTTAGCGTTGGCGCACGCCCTGTGTCGAAATAATTAGACCGCAATTGTGAATGGCCTTGTCAACAATGCGCGTGATGCACATGTGGCGGCGAGTGGCGCGCATCACTATGAATGCAAATGTGGCGGCGGTGCGGAAACGGCGCGCACCGCCAAAGCAACCGAAGCAACAGCTGACTTTGAAATTGGATTTATAAATGTTGCCGCTTCCGCGAGCGCGCTCGCTGATAACACGATCGCATCGACAACACAACGCGCAACAATAAAACGTTTCCTAAATCCACCACCAGCACAGCACACACTTTGGAAGAACCCGAGGAGTGGCTTGTCTCGGCTTTCGCGGCTTCCTCGCCATTGTAATAAATGAGGTTTTGTTTACATCTCGCACGGCGATGAGATGTAATTAATTATGCATGCAATTTATTGCTGCACAATGAACGCAAACGCTGGGTTGTAAACCGTCAGTTGTAATTTATTGGATTGCGCCGAATTATATTATTTTACACTTTGAAAATTAGTCGGAATTATATCAGTCTTGTTTAACCTCAAATTTAAAATTTTAAATTTACCGCTGATTTTTGATATTGTTACTGCGCATGATTAGAAATGGAGCAAAACGTAATATGACAGTTTTAAATTACAAAATTAATTTGTATGAATGGTTGCCTATAATATGAGTCTTCTTTAAGCTTACATTGTGAATTTTCAATTTACCGCTGTTTTCTGCCAGTGTTACTGCGCATGATTAAAAATAGAGGAACACGAAATATGACAGTTGTAAATTCGGCTAATCAACCATTTATCCTTCCTCAGCAAGTCGAATAAATGTTTTAGCACGATTAGAATACGTCGCACGCAAATAGTCGGTGAGTCTGCTAGATTGAGATTGAACGAGCGTAGAAATTCGCGCGCTCGCAGATTCCCTCGACGCGTATTCCCCATGTCAATTACGCAACATGCACGCCGCGAGGTATTAGCGCATATGAGTTATTGCTCCGCGAAAGGACGACACCAGCAGCGAATTAGTGCCACTCTAGCGATCCGAAACCACTTTTTCGACCACGTTAATTTTTATTCCGCCGCGGCGTAAGTAATCCGCAAATAAATAACTCATGCGCATGCGTAGGAATATCCTAGGCGACATTTTGTATAAACTGCACGTCTTCAAATTAACGCCGGTTTTTGCGCGTCGCGTGACGATGATGAAAATGAGAAGTTGCGCTAGCTACAAATGTCAACTGTCATAATCAAGATTCTGTGCCGCAAATTAAAAGAAAAAAAAACACGTAGAACATGAAAATAAAAACAGTTTTTATGTTGCAGGAATTCTATTGGATTAAATGTTATATTTCGCAATGAAATATTTATTAATGTTACAATTTACACCTGTGGGGTGAAATTATTAAATCGCAGCTGAACTGTTAGCAGCAAACTGCAATTAACCATCGAAGCGAACACGGGCGTGCACTACATCTGCCACACGTCGCCGCCGCCGCTCAATATCAAACACTGATATGCACGAAAATTGCGCACGGAGTTGCGCTCGCAATCTGAAATTCTCTCTACATGCAATGCCTTTGTCGCAAGCGCCCAGCGAAAAACATTCATTCCATATTCCGTCTTGCGACTTTTGTCCTCCCGTGCCAAGGAGAGTGGAGAGCGAGAGAAGAGTCCCTTGCGTTACTCGCATTGTGCCCGCCTTTGATTCGCATCCCCATCTGGATACGACGCTGCTCGTTTCGCGTCTTTTTGTTTTTCTTATTCTCACAGCCGTGACAATCGAGCGTCGAATTGAAATGCAAACTTTATTGTTTCCCTCGGTCACAGTTCGGCGGTTTTTTTTCGATTGAGTGTGATTTTTCGTCACGCAGGGTCGTTTATCTTGTGCAGTTGTAGTTTGTGAAAGTTTTCAGGTGCCCGACAACGCCGACCTTCGTTACATTTGTAAAACCCGTTCTTCCCAGCGTTTGATTTCATCACTTTATCACAAATATATTTCTGGAAAATCCCGTACGTGTACTCAAGCTGCTTCAGAGTGAGTCAATACTTTATTATTCCGTTTATCCTTGTTGAAGTTTATCGATAACATTATTGATTTGGAGTTTATTCGCAATTTATCAATCACTCTTATTGACGCAATCTGGAAATTAGGAAATAGAATAGGTATCAATTTATAATGTTATCAGACGTTGTTTATATGTTTATTACTTAATCGCCATTTCCTTTCGACAATTACGACGCATATTGTGTAAAGTGCACACAAAGAGGTTGTTAACGAGCGCAGTTAAATTCATTTGGTGGCTTTCCGCTTCGGACGTCTTTGTGTCAATTTTTTTCGGCGCGCGCTTTTTTTGCCCGCAACTTTTTCAATTGAAACCACCGAAGCGTTTTATGTTCTTTGTGCGTTTTTGTCTTAACGCTTGCCTGCGCGCGACCGACTTCTACGCGACTTTTTCCCAATTTCGTCTTTTAAAGCGCGACAAGCGGACATTCCTCGAGTTCCCAACCAGCACCACCACAAAAACAACCACCGTCATCCTTTTTGTATTGTTTAGTTAGTCGCGTTCGCCGTTTAGTTCGACGCGACGGGGATATTTTCGGATTTGGATTAATGGTTTCCTCCTAGCGGGACACTTAATGCACGTCGCGACCCTGCCGTCCTTAGCCGTTCGATACGCGAATGAAAATTCAGGCGTGAGGAAAATTGGCTGCCAAAGCAGCCATTATCGCATTTCGCCCAAGTCGACGTGCCCATCACAATGAGAATGACACGGGCGTGAACATGAACACTTTTGCCAATGTGCGCGTGGCAGAGATTACGCCCTAAAGCCGACATGCTCACCTTTATCCGGTCGTCTCACTGCGCACATGCATAAGTAACTCCGGAGCGAAACTGGTACAAACCACCACACACCATGCTGACTTTCCCAATTATTAACTACGTGCGCATTATTCATGAACCAATTAATCTAGGTACCTGGAATCAACTGCTAGCACATTCAGGGTCATAAATAACTAAGTTATTGATAACAGTTGCAAAAATATTTTTACAACTCTTTATTAAAACAAAGTTATGGCATTGTAATTATTAACACACATATATTATTGTCAAAAATCCCGGTTTTATAGTCGTTAAATTTCGCTGGCTCGATAATTGTGTCAGATACGCGCGAGTTTTAATGAAAATTGTTCCTTGAACGGTGCCGGCTTTATTATATTAGAAGTCGACATACAATGTGTCCCTGGTAAGATATATACGTACGAATAGAAGACTTCCTGGTGGAGTTCGAGATGTGCGCGCAGTGTATGCTGATTTAGGCCGATAGTTGAAATTTGCTTTTGGTCGGAGAGCAGCGTGTTTTCCCTGTTTGTCGCAAGCACAAAGCAGGCGACTGCGGCGACGGCGATGGCGGCGGCATTAGTTCGCGGTGGCTGCCGGAATATGAGATGTACGTAACAAATGTGGATGCTAATAGTGTTAGCCCTGAATGGCGGACGACGACGATAATGGCATCGCGCGTCGATACGTTGAATACGCCGCACGCCGGAGGCGGCGAACGCGCGTCTTTGCCTAAGGCGTCCCCGTGGTGCGAAGAACAATGCGCGAAACAGCGGGAAAAAACGGACGTGAATGTTTGACGTGTCGACACCGACAATAATATGAATTATTATAGATTGATGTTGAGTAAACACGAATAATAAACTAACAAATGTATTAAAGCAGTATTTTACTCATCATAACATTGATTTTGTCTTCTGAAATTGACTTCCCAAGATGCCAAATAAATAAATTATTGTTTGAGCTTAAAATTTGTATGACTGGTTGCCTATAATATGAGTTTTTCTTTAAATCACTTTTTTTAATAACTCGGTCAGTTGAATTTTGATTGCGATAAAAATCAAGTCTGCCGTTTGACGCTCGCAATAATAACCCAAGGCCTCGAACTTGCAAAGAAATCACAAGTGCGCTCCTTTCGATTTTGCGCACTTTTTTTCCTCTACCGCTCGAGAAGCCGCTCTCTCAGTGGCCGCATTTCCTTTCTGTTTGCTCACACCAGCATTCGCCGATCGCGCCGCCGCGATATTGGAAAGTCATTATCGCGGTTGTGTCAATTTAAAAATGCGAATGTAATCAACAATCTCCTCGGCGCAAAATTCACCCCACATCCATTTTCAATGCAGAGAGATCATGCAAACAGACCAAAGTGGGCTAAGGAGGGAGCACTTCGGCTGCATGAAAGTTTAATTAACGTGTTTTTTTGCGCCTGCACAGCGTAATGAAGACCAAAAGTGAAAACTCAGCCGAGAAATGTAATTATCTTTGTACCTGTTGAATTATACATCCACCGAAATGATATTCAAAATATTATAATGTCAAACTGGGGCGATTCTCATTCGTTAAAACTGTATTTTAATGTCGGATGCTAAATGCACGGATGAATATTTGCATGCGGGGTTATTTGATCTTCATCGCAAAATGTGTTGTCGTATATTAGATCATAAACGGTATGTGATTTTAATTAAAGTCGGCAATTCGTTGTCGGTGATCACCTGCCATGTCATTACGTCATGTGGGGCTGCAGCAGGATAATCCAGGTGGCATTTATACTGAGTGTTTGCATAAATATTTTGATATAAATCAATTTTTCAACTAAAAAAATCTTTTAAACCGGGTAAGATAATTTTGAGGTGATGTATGTATTGTCTAGGTTCGGTTTTAGGTTATGTTTGGTGGTAAAACAAATTTATTTTGCTGAAATTTATAATTAACTCCTCAAAAATAATGTTTTAGATGTTTTTTGAAAGAATTTCTGAAATTTTTGCTTGAATACTGTGAGTTTGAAGCAATTTTGTTCAACATTTTCATCCTTTGCAGTAAAGATGAGGTCATGCACTTATTATCGCCGGAAAAAGCAAAATATTTAAGCCAATTGTGGCACTAAGAACACGCGCGCGTTCCTGGAGGAAAATTTTAATTAAAGCAAGGGAAATTCACCCAGCGCTGCCAGTTATCGCTGATCTCAGGTCCACGTCCACGGCATTTTTAATTACGCGCCCAAAACACGAGTGCATAATTAACTTCTTACATAAAATATTTCACATCTCGTCTGTAGTGTTGTGCGTCCGACTATCGCATTGAAAAAAATCGCATAGTTAAGTACCCCGGGTGGGTTTTAAAGCCCTTAAGCTGTACTGCGCGGATGGAAAACCGGCTGTGTCAAACGCAAGAAGTGCCCGAAACCGCGGAGCGAGGAGTTAGCGAAGAGTTAGCGCCATAAGTAAGAGTAAATTCGCTCGGCGCGCTCGACCCAAGCGATTATTTCGCGTCTAATGAACTTCTTACATAAGCTCGCACATCAATGAAATTACACAACTTTAAATACACTTGTTCAACGACAACCGATCTAATAGCACTGAAACAAAAACCTAAGCCAATTTATTGTACATTAATAGTTTTCTACTTTTGTTTACTCAATGTTGAAAAGAAGTCGAAAACAAAACGCGATAAATTTAAAACGAGGACAATTCGCGCACGAGAAGACAATTAATTGGCATTCATCGAGAACTCGCAAAATTGGTAAATGAAAGACAAAAGTTGTCGAGTTTAACTTTGTTGGAAACTTTTCCACAATACGCGTACACATTACAAGCACCGTGCAAAGAAATAAATTCTATTTACGTCAATATTAATCATGCGCTAATTTCGTCATAATTTTCTCAAAATTTCGGCCCAAACACTCAAAATGTTTACATTTCATTCCTTTTTTCAGTATTTATTTTTTATGGCATCACGTTTGTTTAATGTTGAATGTGAATGAATGCACGTGTTGATTTAAATTTCGTTCCGTTGTGGAATTTTTGAGCATTAAAATGCAGATTAAGCTGCGATCGCATTTTTCACCCCCTGATATTAACCGCCCACCCTACGCCGAGCACTTTATTATAAAAGCACACTGTGGCGGTTCTCCTTTTTTTGTATGTTGGGCGATTCGTGAACGAAACAAAATTTAGGAAAAAACGCTCTGCAGCACGTCGATTAAAAAATGATTAAACATCAAGGCACAAAAAAATCTACGCAACCCTTTGCGTATTACCGCACATCAGTCCAGCGTGCGCGCGGTCAAAAGCTCTGAAAAGTTTTTTTCGTGGCCGCGCTCCGAAAATATTTAACATATTTCGATAACCGATGAATGTGAGAGTGTCGGCTATTAGATTATTTTTGCGCATGGCGCGACGCTTGATTATATAATCGATTCTCGCCTTCGCTTGTTATCAAATATGCAGCAAAAATGCCCGCGCAGATAATGGAAATGCGTGGATATCGCAACATTCACAACGCATTCTATAAAAAAACAGCAATGTGCAAATCAAATTAGCAATCATCGCGTCATACATAATTGATATTACTAATTCCAGCAAATATTGACGATTGCGATCTATTAAAATATAGTCAAAGCGACAATACGTGGCGCAACAATGGGAATTTTAGTTTTTAATTGATAACTTCTAAATTATTTGATTAATTTGAACGATTCTTTCGGAAGTCTATTCAATATTATATTTAGCATATAAAAATCTGAAGACTTTCAAGATAACATAGACGAAAACATCATGATTTGATTAATTAAGATGTATTTTCCAGTTTCTCATTTAAAACTCAAATAATCTAACAATCTATAGTTGAATCACAAAATCTGTTAGTAAGCGCATAACTCAACATCGCCTAGACAAATTTGGCCAATTCTGTTTTTAAAATGTTCGTTAAAGTCCAAGGATGGTTTTTACGGTAAGAAAAATTTGAATAATTGCCGGGAAAACCCTAAAAACATTTTATAGGATAAAAGTTGGCATTGAGATTCAATCATAGTTATAGTTAAATAGTTGAATCCGAGATGGCGCGCATTAATAGCAATTCTTTATATAATTATTTTTTTAAAATAAAATTGCGAATCTTATTGATAGACTTGACCCATACTATGTCTAGAACAAGAGAGTAAAAACTAATTACATTTTTATTAAACACTACCAGGACAAAATCGCGGGCAAAAACTAGGGAATAATAAAAATAATATTTTTTGTGTCTATATTTTAGAACTAAATAATCCCATCAAACCTATAGTATTTTGCTGTTATTTCTTACCCCTAGAGAAATAAATGTGAAAAATGAATAAAACATGTTTTATGAATTCTTTAGAAATTGATAGGTATCAGTTATTGTGCATCCGTGCTGATTTGAAACTCGCGATTTATAAAAATTTAAATACCTGGCACAAAAAGAGAATATTACGTGTTCGTTGTACATTAATAAATAATTTATTTTATATTTCTTTTAAGCTTTGTTCGTATGAGTATTTACAGTTTTTTTACAACGTGTTTCTACTCTTGCAACGCGCCAATTGATATAAATGCCACCATTGTATTTTGAATTTAATTATATTCAACTTATATAGAAAAAATATGAAAATAAAATTTATTCAATGAAAGTATTGCAGTTAAAACATCCATAGAGCAAGATACAAACATTTAAACGGTGTATTTATTGTTATTTCAAGGTAGTTTAATGGAAAAATAATATGTATGAACACCTGACTTTCTGTCGGCTGTTTATAACACTTCACAACTATTTCGATTCCTATGAAGTCGCCAGATGGCGTTTGCGAATAAATACCACCAGATGAACAACGTGCTGCAGCGCACCTCAGAGTACATAACCTAAGAAACCAATTAACCTATAACTTTACGGTACTCAGCGTATGTTTTACTGTCAGATATATTTCTATAGTTTATTTTTTATTTGTTGCTTTGTTACTATATCAAAAATAATACATTTTTGCGCCCTGCCATCATCAACGGCAGTGATTCCGCGTGAAATGGAAAACCATCCCCTTTCGTGCCCTTTCGTCCGCCTGGTTCCGCTTCGCATTCCCAATGCGACCTCACCGGCATATCGCCGTCATAAATTGGCGGTCGTGGCAAAACGGAAATACTCCTCGTTTATTATATTTGGTTGTACGTACTTCTGCGCGCGTTTATGTTGCATTATCTTTTTTACGAGCGTATTCACTGCTTAGATTGGCCACACACATTTCCCCAGTGCGTGCCTAAAGAAACATGTTTTTATTCATTTTTCTACCACTATCAGAGTGTCAATTGAATCACAGCATGTATTCCCAACCCAATATGAATAAGATGAATGGTTCCAACCTCACAAAAATATCAATTATGACTTAATGCCTTAAACACAAACTTGAATGTTAACGCTATGATAACGGTTGGGTTTGTTGTAAGCGTTGTTTGTTTCTGAGCTTGTTTCGCACGACATTAACAGCGCACCGAAATTTGCAAGGCATTAAATCACCCGAATGATTTATTTAGTTGAAAGTCATCGTTGGTCCCGGCGCGCAGTAGCACAGGAGCCCGAGTTTTCCTTCCTCTCGCACTCCACACTCGGATGAATAATAAGATTCAATCAGACGTATTCGAAATAGGTTCGCCGGGGTTTTCGTAGCCCGGGCGGCGCAACTCCAAATGGATGGAAATAAGTTGAAATGGGTTTTTGGCAAGGTGCGTTCCGGGGGCTAAAGAACGCCGCCGATTGCAGCCTTAATAAAGACGTGAGAGCTATGTGAGCGAGACGCGCAAATTATAGAAACAAAAGTAGCGAAATGAATGACGAAAATGATGAAAATAAATCGCTGACGTGCCTTGACGATAAATGATTGTGGAGAGAATTTCGGGCGGCGTGTTGAGAAAAAACGAGTTTATATTAAAAAAAACGTCGTGTCGTATTACACTCGCGCATTAATATTAAATTATCACGAACGAAAATGTATTGAGCGTAAATCATACATGACTGACTCATTAGGCAAGCATTTAAATATTAATGACATGGAACATTAGCATTTATTGTACTCGCATTAATAAATAATCAATAATCATCCAAAATATTCATATTCATAAAAGTTTATTATATTTTTACTATTGAAGGGATTTAGATTGTTGATATAGTTCGCAGAATTTTTGTGATTTGACTATTTCTCTATCGATTTATCTCCATTATGTTCGCAGAAAATTCCGTACGATTGTGAACGATATGGAGATATGCTTCTTTGATAGCGTACCGCATGCGACACACTCGCCCACGCAAAAAATGTAAATCCCAAAGCGGCAAAGCCGAATAGAAATCGGAGATTTCAAAAGGCATCCGGATTTTTAGTGTAAATCCATTACGTATGAATATATTACGAGCAAATTTGACGGGAGATTTGCATTCAGCGCATAATTCACTGCAAGATTTCTTTTCGACTTGACTAAATGTTAATTACAACCGAATTCTAAGGGTTTGCACGAAATTGACTGTATTATTTAGTCGCAGGCGGAAAATCCGCGTATTCAATATATAATATACATAGCTACAGTAGATCTTATACAAATTTCAAGTTGTAATATATGAGGGCGAATTTAACCTTAACCTGTTCGAAGGTAAACCTGGTGTGCGGGTGGCTTTTCCGGTGGCGATCCCGTGGTGGTTTTGCGCCATCCTCGCGCGCTACCGATTTACGTTTACATTCCAGATGAAACGTTTACGGTGCGAGGGTGACGCGCACAAATGCGTTCGAGCGAGCGGGATGTTCGTTTCTTGGTCACGGGCGATTTGAGTTTCCCCGGCACCGGGGGAGATAGATTACAGCCACCACTATAACTTCAATACTCCAACCAAATGCGTTTTTTTATTTCTTTTACCTCGTGTGTTATTGTTTTACGCCTGATCGACACAAGATTTACATAAAATTGACATGTGGCTGGAGCTTGTTAGGGAAGAAATGTGTGCGCAGCAAATGGGGTTGGACGTAACGTAATATGTATAACACGAGCGGCGCGTTACAAGTGCCCCGACCTTTTGCTGCTCATTATCCTGTCAATTTTTCACGCCCTCACGACAAGCAATGGCCACTTTAACACTCTGCGCGCCGAAATTTATGAAGGCAATTAATTTACGAAACAACACAGCTAACAATAGCGCTACGCGAAATTTTTCGAATGAATTTTGAACGAGTGGGTTGTTTGCAGGCGACAACAGCGAGCGAAAGACAAGTTCTGCAAGACAGTGTACAACGGCCTGCTCACCTACACGGAATGCATCCAGGCGTTCAATTCGACGACGTACTTTGAGAGTTGGGACCCGGATCCGTTGGACCTGTTCACTAATAGTTCATATCGTGGCTTGAATGGTAATCTTGTATTGGATCCAACTGGTGATGGTGGGGGTAACCGTACAGACGATGGTAACATCACGGCGACAGAGGTGACACTGCAACCCGTTTTACCACCGTTTGAACTCTGGCAGACCATACTCATCGCCATCTGTTTGGCACTCTGCATTATCCTCACTGTTGGTGGTAACATCCTGGTATTGTTGGCGTTCATTGTCGATAGGAATATTCGACAGCCGAGTAATTACTTCATCGCATCACTGGCTGCGACTGACATGCTCATTGGTAATTTGTAGATTATCTGGTCATTTGTTACTTGCTCACAGGGTCAGCTGAAAAACTTGGTTAATTTTATGTGACTTGATTAATTTTGACTGGGTTGTCTTGTTTAGGTACTGTTTCCATGCCGTTTTACACCGTTTACGTGCTGATGGGTTATTGGGACCTTGGGCCACTGCTGTGTGACCTCTGGCTTTCGGTGGACTACACCGTATGTCTTGTCTCGCAGTATACTGTGTTGTTGATCACCATCGATCGCTTCTGCTCGGTGAAGATAGCTGCAAAGTATCGCAGCTGGCGGACGAAAAATCGCGTCGTGTGGATGGTCTTCATTACTTGGATAATACCCGCGTTGCTTTTCTTTATCAGTATCTTCGGATGGGAGCATTTTGTTGGTTATCGTGACTTACAACCTGGTGAATGTGCTGTACAGTTCCTCAAAGATCCGGTTTTTAATACGGCGCTTATCATTGGGTACTATTGGACCACACTAATTGTACTTTTCATTCTGTATGGAGGTATTTACAAGACAGCCTATGAAATGCAGAAGAAAAGCGAAGCAAAACAGCGGAAAATGCAGAGTATGGTGGCGTTGAGTGCCGGTGCCATGTCAGGAATGGCAGGTCGTGCAGCGGGTATTGGTCTCGCCAAAACTCAAAGTACGCCAATGGCACAAGAGAAGCCACAGATAGCTACAACAGTTTTAGGAGGTTCTGTGAAAGAACGTCCAGCGCAACCGGTCGTGTCGGACTCTAGTTCGAAAATTACTAGTGCAGCAACGACCACCACTACGACTGCCAATACCACGGTCACAACAGATATCAGCAGTCAATCTGCCGGCGCTAAGTTAACCGCCATCCCGACAGATAATCGTGTTGGTCTTCCAGGTGGTAACAATCAGCGTCCCCAGCTGGCAACCAACGCCGGCGGCGAGACCAATGATAAATCAGAACGCAGTAGTAGTCCCGCTTTTGAATCGGATGAGGACAGCACAGTTCAAAATAACCAACAGCAGCAAGCACAAGACCGTACGCGTAAAAGAAGTTCCGTTGTTGAAATAATGCTCCAGCTTAGCACCTCGCCAATGTTCGACTGTCCCAATAACAATAATCGCATCAATGGTGGTATACCCAACGCAGACTGCGAGGTACCTGTGATTGGTGGATTGCCACAATCGCGGACTATGTCTAGGATTCAAGAGCAAGTCAGCAGTGCGGAGGATTCAGGAGCGTCTGGGTCAACGACTACCCTAGGTGGTGGTTTGCTGCCCAAGGATAAGTCGACCCGTACGCCCACTTCTACCAACGTGGTAAACCCTGGGGTAGGTGCTGTCAGTGTTTCCCCTTCGCCTTCGCCCTCGCAAAAGTCTTACATTATCCCGCCGCCGCTGCAGTTCCAAGGCAGTCCCTCGCCTGCGTCCAAATGCCGCGCCAGCTGCCACCCCGATAGCTTGCAACCGCCTACATCAAAACAGTCATCCGCAGAATCATCACCATCTTTGGCCCCCAGTAGCCGTTGTTGTAGCGGCCAGCCCAATGGCCAGTGTAACAGTAACAGTAACAGTAGCTCCATGCATCCGTCACACAAGACATACGACCTCCTGGTAGGCTTAGACGGGGCCGACCTGCGCTTTATGGACGAAAGCTCGATCGTCGTGCCGTCACCGCTATGCGAATCACCCACTCCGCATGCCACCCCCGCTCATGACTCTGTTGCTTGCCTGCTGCAGGGCGCCGTAGATCGCACGAGCTTGCTGGCGGTGGCAACACCGCGCCCGTCACCGCCCAAGCAATCGGCACGCAAAGCCGACACAGCGGTCACACTTTCCGCTGAGCGCACAGTTACTTCCATTGTGAGCGAGCTGCAAGATAGCGACAATCGTGACGGCACCGAACCAAGCACGCCGCAAGGTGGCACTTCTGCAGTCAGCCAGACAGGTAACGCCGCCGCCCTCTTGGCGGCGACCACCATTGTGGAAGTGACGCGCAATAAACATACATTTGCCAACACAGAACCCGAAGAAGCCGGTGCCAGTCGCTCCGGGTCGAGGCGAGCTTTCGTCAAAGCCCTAGGCCAGAAACTGAGGAAGAAGAAGAAGAAACTACCCGTGCCGGGACCATTCGGCGCCTTCGGTCGCCAGAAGTCCAAATCAGAGAACCGCGCTCGTAAAGCCTTCCGTACCATCAGCTTCATTCTCGGCGCTTTCGTTATCTGCTGGACACCGTATCATGTCCTTGCGCTCGTCGAAGGCTTCTGCGCCACGCCACCGTGCACCAACGAGCACCTCTACATGTTCGCCTATTTTCTTTGCTATGCCAACAGCCCGCTCAATCCATTCTGCTATGCGCTGGCCAACCAGCAGTTTAAGAAGACCTTCATGCGCATTCTCAAAGGCGATCTGCATCTCACGTAGGCGCGAAGCTTGTAATGCGAAACAATAAAAATGCATTCGAAACACCAAAAACGGCGATAAAAATAAAACTCACACTCACAACGACGCACAGTTTGCTCGTCATCACCTTTGAATTGCCTTTTTTTAGACTCATTGACGACGCGGTCGAATTCACGAATTATCAAAGGTGAGCAGACTGCCGACAACGCGATTGCTGGTTGGTGTGTGCGTGTGTGTGTGTGCGTGTGTGTGTGTGTGTGCGAATATAGATTAATGTGTATGAATATGTGTGCGTGTGCTCAAAGTCAATGAATCTCAAGCAGCCACATACGCGACGCGCACGACAAGTCGATTTCTCAAAATTTCAACTGACAATAATTAAACTAAATGGAACCTTGTATGTTATTCCAGAACGTAGGCTAAGCTATCGTGTAAAAATTTTTGGGACCCATATAGGACGAGCAAAACCAGCTTTACTTGTAAAATTCTCATCATCGGAGCATTCATGTTGAGAAATGTGCAAATGACAAATATAGCGTCTTAGCGAACAATTCCTAGGAAATTATTTATCCAATCGTAATCAATAATACCAATTTATATCACCGTATATGAAAAATTATCAAATAATTCTTAGATTATTCGAAGCTTGGGCAGCTTAATTGATTTTGCAATTTTATCAAAGTCTCAAGTAATGACAAAGTATCTACAATAATAAACACTCAAAAATTGCAAAATGCATTGTAAATACGTGCTTAATATTACACAAATAATTGTAATTTACGGTAGTTTCCTAAGGATATACTCTAATAGTACACTTGTTTTGAAAACAAATTTATCTTGTAAATACTCGTTAAAATGTTGGTTTAATTTTGAGGGTTTACACGAACTTCTCATTCGGCGAATCATCGACACTTGAAATTCACGATACTGATTAATAAAACATAACAGGCCGGATGGAATATAATTGAGCCCGTATTCTATTCGGCTGAGAAAACAATTCATTCATTTCCTGCATGTCTACAATCATGTTTGATTATAAATCAGAAAAAACAAACAAATTCAATTTTTAAGTAAGTCAAGTATCGCCATGCAGGAGTGAATTGAATTGAATATCACAATCGATGATTGACTCCATGACACGTTCGTAGTTTCCAGTATTCTAATTACCACTGCGACCGTTTTAGTACAAAAAACAAAAACTGTTTAATTTCTCACACGTCAAACCTGTGATATTCGGCGTATCGAAGTAAAACGTACGCGAAGCAAACAAAAATTGTGTATCAAATGTAATAAATTGTATTATAAACAATCGTTGTGCATGTGTCAACACAGTCTAGTCACACACGTGTTGTGTTTAATCGTAAACAAATAATTTCAAAGCAAAACATCTACGTATGTACTATGTATAGATGTAAATTGTAATTGTAAGATAACTATAGCAGAGCATACGAGACAATTTAATACATAATCAACATGAAACACAATGGACACATATATGCATATATACCTACAATAGGGTAGGAAGGTAGATGTGTGGATGACTGGATGCCACAACTAAATTTATAATCCATGTGAGCTTGGAGCGGTCAGTGTCTGGTGACCACTGGCGACCACACTTCACTTCAAAATCCGCTTGCGTCGTTTTCTACCCGCCATTTCTCCACTCATGTCGATTACATATCATCGGATGTCTCTTCCATTACTTTTCGGGCCTTGTCAATTCCTTACTCCTGAAGTCGTACTTAGCGCAATAACTATGTAAAAATTGTTTCAAGATATACGATTAATGTGCTTTTGGGCGACGAAATGTGCGAGCTGCGTTAATTATATTAGCTCAATGTAATGTGACAAAAGATAAATGTACAGCTTAGATTATGTTCCCATTCAAGTCTCAATTTGTTATACCAGTTTGCCAACACAACAATGACAGCGCAAACACCTTGTTTGTTCATTATCTGTTGTAGTCATATGTGCTTAGGCTAACTAGCAATTGCGATTAATTAAATTTGTTATCTAATCAGTAGCGGAATTATGCAATGTTATGTTGCTCGTTTGAATATTTGAAGATTTATTATCGAGTTACAAATAAGTATTGAATTCAAAAAAGGCAAATTGATTTTAATTAAATAAATTTTATTACTGAAAATATAAATTATTTGTTATTGTCGGTCCCGTGTAGTTGATAGAAAAACAGGTAAACATGTTTTATTGATATAGTGCGTTATCTACAAAAACATACTAGTTCTAGATAAATCCAAAGCGATTTGTTGATGCAAATATTAGGATCGGGCATTGCAGCGCCCTCTATGAATTTCAGTAGACACCAACTGAGTTACGTCCGTCGGATGCTTTGAAAAAAAGAACTTCGAGAGTAATATGTGGATAATACTAGTCTATTAATATATTTTTAGTTCTTATAAAACCTGTTTTGATTAATTATTAGTTTAAATTTTGATTTAATAGTCATGTAATATAACCTGGACAAACTAAACTGCATCCCGACGGATGAATCAAATTTTCCATTATGAGGTAAATAAATAAATTTTATTTTATTACTGACGCTAGATTTGTTATTGTTTGTCTCGTGTACTCTATAGAAAAACAGGTAAACATGTTTCATTGATAAAATGCGTTATCTACAAAAACATGCAAGTTCTCGAGAAATATATACCACTATACTCGTGCATTGCCAAATATATTTAGAAAGAACACTGTTGCGGCCTCTCTGGATTTAAATAAATACCAAATGACAATAATAAAGGCGTATATCGCAATATCTGCGTACCCCACATAAGTCAAGTTCGTCTGATGAAGGATAAGTATGTATATTGAAACAAAGATCAAGATATATATAGATACTTACTTAGGATTACTTAGAACACTTAAAATTAAACAATATCCAACAATGGTAATATATCAATGTCTACTAATCCACTCATAACAATGTTCCATTATTATCAGTTCAAATTTCGATTGAAGGCTGAACCATCTCTACTATTCCCAACTCTTTACCCGGATGGTTAAATTTCATTATACATTATGAAGTACAAATGTACTTTTAATTATATACATACTTTCAATTTTCAAGTCCTGGTTCAATTGAATTATTTAAATTTTATTACTGAAACTAGTTTTGTTATTGTTAGTCTGGAGAACTCTGCAGAAAACATGTAAACATGTTTTATTCTTCTTGTGCGTTATCTACAAACATATCAGTTCGAAACAAATCCATGACCATGGTTAAAATCAGCCCTCTTCAACTCCGTAGTACAGAGAACAACTCCATGTTATCGCTATTTGCAGAGAACGCTAGTAGTGTAGTTGCAACCGTTGCAACGGTCATGAGCTATCTTTTGCAGTGGTTCCTAACCTTTTCAAGGTCACTACCCCTGTGAACAAGTATGGGAATTGAGTTTACCCCTTGCTACTTTAAAATGACTAAAACCACATAAATTCGAACGAAAATGTTTATTATGTAAGAAATTGCACGTTTACGTAACTAGTAAAGTAATATAAAAATTTATATAATATATAAATAGCGCCGTGCTACCCTTTACCGTACTATTATTTTGTTTATTGGTATTTTAATACTATTTCGTGCCATCCCGTATTACCCCCCAAGAATCTCCGTTTTACCCCTGCGGGGGTAATTACCCCCAGGTTAGGAACCACTGTTTAAAAGGGAAGATTCGTGGTCATGAGCTAAATTTGAATGCAAATTTGATTCGCTTCGTCGGTCAACTTCTGATTTAAAATAAAATAAGTAATGACGTCCGTTCCCGGACATCTCCTTAACAATGTAATTTTATTCGCAGATTATTATCATCGTCAGCCCTTGTCGAAGTGTTGCAACGCATAAAACACTGGTAAGGTATCATTGCTTGCTTCTTTTATATACTCGTGTTCGTAATACATACATTTATAATCAATATATAATCTATAATTGATTTATAATTGAAATAGCGTATTATAAAATGATATATATTGGTATATTTTCAAAGGTTTTTGCTGACTACAAAACCTCGAGTTTTGTTTTAGTTTGATTTTATTAACTTATCAATGGTGCATTGCATGAAATGCTAAGACAATCAAATTCGAACAAGAATATTCTTGTTCATTGCATGAAAGTTAATATTTTCAGTTTTCCACTTCTTGAGTCGTCAACCACACATTATCGTTAACTCCTCAATTCGTCAGTCACGTTCGAAGTTCGAAGAGGTCCGACTGAAAATAATATAAATTAATGAATATTTAGGCGATTTTTATGAACTAAAATGATATAGGTATTTAATTTCAAGAGTAAATTACTAAAGAAGTTAAATTTGAATGTTATTATGCTTTTTTGTAGTTTTGAAGAGATTTAATGCAATTTTAAAGAAAATATGTGATTTTATGACGAATATATACGTTCATTGACTATTTATGCAGTGTATTATGTTTATTTATAGCTAAATTAATGAATATTTGCATTAAAATTGCAAAATTTAGTTAATTAATTATGAATTAATACATTCTAGCGACCTCTACATTCGAAGCTTTGAATTATGTATAAAAATTTCTATTCGTTTAGATAGGGTAGTGCATGCGCAGTTGCTTGTACGTGTTGCGCGTACATAGCCAATCACTCACTGCCTCATATACACGCCAGATTTTTTGATACACTTGGTATTATCTAGGTACTCAAAAGTAACCTCAGATGGCGCAATAATGCATGTTTTCGCTAAAAATATTCCTGCGAGTGAAATTCGACGTGACCAGTTGTTGTGTAGCCGGCACGCAACTCTTACTTCGGGCGATAAGTACTAATACTTAAATGAATATTCGTGTTTCGTGTTGTAAATTCGTTATACTAGACGGGTTTTAGTCACTAAATATTTATCGCGTGTGTAATCTTCGGAATTCAATGTTTTGTTTGTTTATTGCAGTGTCGCGTTTTGTCTCCAGCAGAACACGACGGGCGGCTGTTCTACCTGGTAAATAATATTATTTAAATAATTATGCCAAATAAGACAATTTTTAAGTCAAAGTTTGGGTGCCTCCGGAACTCGGATTCATTTCAACATTGTCCGAAATTGTATAACTAATGTTTTGTTTCTTGTTTATTTCAGTATCTACTCGCTTTTGATTTACGGTGTTTTGGGCTTTTGCTCACATTGACAATTGCTCACAGGACTTTTGCTCACACGGACAATTGCTCACTATTTAATTTTTGTTAATTTTTTTTTAACAATGAATATTAATTATGAAATAATTTATATACAAATATATAACAATTAAGAGGCCTCGCTTGCACGATAATAGTGATTTATTTTTCAAATAAACTATTTGTTCATTCTATCTTAATTAATTAGCAATAAATATAACTCTTTGAAGTTTCACTTCTAGTATACTCACACATAATTTTTAATAATTACATAAATAAATAACTAATATATGGATAATTGTAAATTTGCCAATCTCCTTAAATATTGCATTATTATTTATTGTTTTTTAATAAATATAAAAAAATTAAATTGTGAGCAAAAGTCCTGTGAGCAATTGTCAATGTGAGGAAAAGCCATGTGAGCAACTGTCCATGTGCGCAGTTATGACTGTGGGCAGTTGTCTGTGAGCAGTTGTCGTGTGAGCGATCGTCTTGGGGGCAAAAGTCCGGGAACTGTCGAGCGCATGTCCAATAATAACTTTTCGTCTGCTGTACAAACAATTCTTTATTATTATTCGTTGATTTAAACTTTTTAAACCGTTTTCTCTTAAAGTAAGCAGATAAATAAAACCAATAGTGCACAAATTTTAGACTAAATTAAATGTTATTTGTCTTAATATGCCAAAGCCTATCTCAATAAACATATCTTACTCATGTGTAATGCCAAGCTTACAAATATACAATTATATATAAAACAATATGAAACATTATGTGCATGTTGTACAAAGAAACAAATTAGATCCTAGTTTGGAATCTGTGGGAGCCCAAATTCATCAACTGCAATACCATCCTGAAAGAAGTTTAGATAAAATAAAATTAAAATTATCATTCAGGCTATAACAACTGAATACTGTTGATACCTTGTTCTTAGCTGCTTCTGGTTTTTCTGGTTTATTGCTTGGTGCTTCTGGTGCATTCAGAACATCATCTAAATATGTTGCATCATCATCCAAGGCAATTTCATCTCCAAGAGCATCCAATTCTGCAGCCAACTCATCATCATCAATTTCAGCCATGTTGTAATTCCTACCCAAAGCTTCTTGCACTTCATCAGCTTGTTCCATCATGTCTGCAAGCTCATCTTGCACATCCTATAATATAAGAAAATAAAATAATTGAAGAAATCAATAAAACAGGAAAGCTTACATCAATTTCTTCAATATTAATCTTTTTAAACTCTTTCTTCATCTGTTTCATTCCATCCTTCATAGCAACCACAGTGGCATGAGTATCCTTGAGTGTTTGATGTGCATAATTTGCTTGCTCCATGTTGAAGGACTGCCCACGAAGGTTCTCTAATTGTTGTTCATACATTTTCTTCTGTTTAAGGACGCGCATTGCTTTAGCTTTGACCGCGTTCTTTCCCGGGCCTTCTCGCATTTTCGACATTTGTTCTTTAAAACGGCGTAGCTCATTGTCCAGTCCAAGTACTTTTTTTTCAATGCCATCAGCTCTTGCATCCACCTAGATGAGTCACTCAATTAATAAGAAACTCGATAGAGATATTGAATTATGTAAACTTACACCACTTATACAATCAGAAATGCTTGGTCCTGGTTCCTTAGGTTTGCCTTTTCCAAATAATCTGTTCATTTTGGTGAGAAACTGTTTAACTACAAGAGGTGACAATCAAATCAAAACGACTGTTTTGTTAAAAAGGTTAATGTTGTCAAGAGTCAAGAGTAGAATTGTAGAGAACACAAAGTTGCCTACGTATTTTATGCCAAAAATGTTAACAATTGTAGAAACTAGAAAAACAAAAGAAATTTAATTATTTGGTAATACTATGAGCACTAAAACTTATAGAGCTAGTAAGAAAAACAAATAGTTGCTATTAAGAGATGTATTAGATTGGTTTAATTTTCTGTGATAGCATATAACCAATACCGAATTAATGAAGAACGAAATTTAGATCTGATTAGAAAATTATATTTGATTTTTCTATACATTTTCCTAAGATAATCTGTGTGTCAGTGTGTTGTGCGTTTGTATCAGTGAGTACGTCTTGAGTTTAATAAAAACTAACTTGAAACTTGAAACGCTTGCATGCACGTAGCAATCATAGTCAGTTATGCGCATTTTGTTATGATGATATATGTTGAGTAAACAATTCTTCGCGATCATAACACGGTATAACACCCGTAATTTAATGCATTTTACAATATCAATTACCAAACAAACAATGTTTTTTCCAAAGCCCAAAGACATCAATTTAAATTCTAGTTTTTAGTCGGTTGATCCACATTAATCCAACTGTCGTTTGTGTAAATAAAGATTTATATATTTTTCCTCATTTTGAAAGCCAGTAATCGGCATTAATCTTGGAAATGTAATTAATTATCATCTCATTGTCGTCATGCATTATGCAATGCTAAATAAGAATTTTTCATAACAATTTTTGCTTTTATCAATAAACTACGCCATTGGTTAAACATGTGTTTGTCCCAACCGGCGCGGTTATCTATTTGACCTCAATGGACCTCATTGTAAGGCAACCCGACCAACCCGAAGCAAAATGAAATGCCATATTAAAGAAGCATTTTGCTGACACGAACCAGTTGCTTGCTTTGCATTGTCCAAGGCGGATCAGTCCCATCACCATCACATCAGTCATTCATACTAGGAACTGACATACAAGAATTTAGCAATGGCATCCAAAATCGGTAGGTATAAACGCATGCCATTACCAAGGTGAAAACATTTATGTTATAAACATAGTTATCAAGTATTCTATTACTAAATTATTAATAAAGATTACTTACATAACTAATTTTGAACATTTGTTTTAATGCCTCTAGCACTTTTGTCTGTGTCCGATAAAACCGGCTTACTGAACTTGGGCAAAAGCCTGAGTGACCTTGGTTTTACCCTCGTGGCTAGCGGCGGTACCGCAAAAAGTCTCAGAGACACAGGCTTGAAAGTAAAAGATGTTTCTGATATCTCCGGAGCTCCGGAAATTCTTGGGGGGCGAGTTAAGACCCTTCATCCTGCTGTCCATGGCGGAATTCTTGCTAGGTATTAAAATATTTACCAATTATAATCCAAATATACAGTAACTACATAATTGCTTTACTTTAGGGAGATCCCAAGTGACCAAGCAGACCTCCTGAAACAAAAGATCGACATGATTCAAGTCGTTGTTTGCAATCTCTACCCGTTTGTGCAGACAGTATCAAAACCCGACGTGAAACTCGCCGACGCCATTGAAAACATCGACATTGGTGGAGTCACTCTTCTCCGCGCAGCAGCTAAAAACCACCATCGCGTGACAGTCATGAGTGATCCCAATGATTATGCCAAGATCATTGCCGAAATTAAAGCTTCCGGCAATAAAGATACCACTCCTGAAACACGACAGAAATTAGCATTTAAAGCGTTCGTTCAGACGTCTGAATATGATCTGGCGATTTCCGACTATTTCCGTAAACAATTCTCAGGCGGCGAATCTCAACTCACTCTTAGGTACGGCATGAACCCACATCAGAAACCTGCACAGATCTATACAACACTGAACAAACTTCCACTGACTGTGTTGAATGGTTCTCCTGGGTTTATTAATCTCTGCGATGCTTTGAACGGCTGGCAGTTGGTAAAGGAACTGAAACAAGCTTTGGGTTTACCTGCAGCCACCAGTTTCAAGCATGTATCTCCTGCTGGTGCCGCCATTGGCGTACCGTTTGGTCCTAACGAAGCTCGTCTTTGTATGGTTGAAGATCTGGTTGATCAACTGACTCCTCTTGCGATTGCATACGCAAGAGCGCGTGGAGCTGATCGTATGTCATCTTTTGGTGACTTTGTCGCTTTGTCAGACACCTGTGATGCCGCCACAGCTAAAATCATCTCCAGGGAAGTATCCGATGGTGTGATCGCACCTGGTTACACCGCGGAAGCAATGGAGCTGCTCAAGAAAAAGAAAAATGGCGGATATTGTGTGTTGCAAATTGATCCCTCATACGAACCGGAAGCTATTGAACGTAAAGTCCTCTTTGGTTTAACCATGGAACAGAAACGTAACGATGCCATTATCAACAAGAGTTTGTTCTCTAATGTAGTCACCGCTGATAAGGCGATGCCTGATAATGCAGTCCGTGATTTGATTGTTGCTACAATTGCACTCAAATACACACAGAGTAACTCCGTGTGCTATGCGAAGAATGGTCAAGTTGTTGGCATCGGCGCCGGGCAACAATCACGCATTCACTGCACACGTCTTGCGGGAGACAAAGCTGATAACTGGTGGCTTCGTCAACACCCCAAGGTAACTGGAATGAAATTCAAGGCGGGTGTGAAACGCGCTGAGATCTCTAACGCTATTGATAATTACGTCAATGGTACGGTTGGCAAAGACATGGATAGGAACATGTGGATGAATATGTATGAAGTTGTACCCGCTGATTTGACCGATGCCGAGAAGAAGGAATGGATGACTAAATTGTCTGGAGTGGCATTGGCATCAGATGCATTCTTCCCGTTCCGTGACAACATTGATCGTGCGCATTTGGTAAGCACAACAACTTCTTACTCAATTTGATAATCATATTAACTTATTTTTATGATTTACAGAGTGGCGTTACGTATATTGGCAGCCCGGCTGGTTCCACAAATGATCAAGCTGTAATCACTGCTTGCAACGACCACAAAATGATCATGGCCCACACGAACTTGCGTCTTTTCCATCATTAGAGTTTGCGCAAGGTTTTAATCTAAGTTGATTATGAACTTATTTTGTTCATAATTAAGTCATCTTAATTTTGAAATAACGTGTTATGAACATGTTATCATCTAAAAACATGTCTGCAAAACTATTTTGAATGTCATATATTATGAAAATACATACAATTGTTATTAACATATGCAGTCTTTTAATTCTTGTAAACCGGATAAAACCATTTATATTATTAATTTATGTTGAAATAATTGCAGAAACTGTTATTATTTACAACAGTTTTATTAAATTTTTAACTAATAGATCTCCGTGTTTCGTGTACTTTAAGTTGCCTATACTTTGCAGTGCAGTATATGTTTTTGTAACCTATGAATTGAAGTGTCGTTTTCATAAAAACCAAATTATATTAATCATCATAAGTCCACAAATAAAGCGCATGTAATATTTGCACACTTCTTTAGTTAATATCTACAAAAATGGATATTGAACTTAATATACCTCCAAAAATAAAAGCGATCCAAGAATACATCAACAATGAAATAATTGGTAATATTTTCAATGATATATTTTCATAGTAAACTAATGAAATTCCACTTACAGGATTGAGTAAAATGAAAAAACTTCGCATCAAGTTGAACGACAGTATACCGAACAGTAATAGCCACACGTTTGAGCTAGAAATCCCATTTGCAGGCACATATCTTAAGTGGGATGTGATATTTAGCAATGAAGACTTAAAGTTTGCACCTGATTTTGACTTTGTCAATGACCAGTTCCTAACTGATCCAGATATTGATGTAATAGAGAAGGATATTCCAGCATTATACCATTGGAATATTGATGAACCGGAATGTTTGTACAATGTAGTCAAACAAATTCTCTGCTTGTATAAAAAGTATCAAGTGGATAGGCTACAGGTGAACAAGTATGAAAGACAATACATGGAATACACAGTCCTCATTAGAGAAATGAATATTCCAGAAGAAGATATTGAAGTACACATTGACCATTCAGATGGCATACACTTTCTAGTTCAATTACCGATCGACGTGTCGACGCTACCGCCATATTTGGGCAAATATTTTGAAAATAATAACACCGACGGTACTCCGGCGGAATTATGTAACCCCGGACAAGATACAATCATGCTACGTATTTCCTATATGAATCAAAAGGTGCAAACAAACGTTTGGCTCACGCAACACCTCGAAGAAGTAATCGGTAACACGAAGTTGTTGCGCTTACCAACATGCACGAAAGACATGAGTCTACTGGAATACATCCCGGCTGTGAAGAAAGTAATACACGAGAAGTTGTCGACGATTAGCACGAATTACAAGCTGCGCAATCAATTCGTAAGCACGATGTTAGCGTACCAAGGCCGGAGTATCATCGAGTATGACAATGTAACATTCAGTAAAATGACACTGCTATTAGAAGCTCAAGAAAACAATTGTTTAGTTATTATTCAGCTGGGTAAGAATTTCGATAAACCGATATTGCAACTTCGATCGCTATATTGTGAAAGAAACAGTAAACCAATGAGCGAGAATTTGAATTATTCGTATGACCCGAAAGCCAGTATCGAGGAGACGGTACAAAAGATACTAAATACAGTCTACTGCTTTCTGACCACGTGCAAAACGGAAAGCAATCACAATAGCAACAGGAACGACGTGAAACAAAGCGATAAGTTTAGCTATGCCGCAGCGGTTACGAAACAAACTTAAAGTTCACTGAATACTTAACAAGAAATTCGGTCTGTTGTTTAATGCCACAATGTATAATTTTAAACTTTATAATGTAATAATCATATAAATATTTATGTCATAACAAATGTTCTGATTCTGGTTAGTATTCGATTCTGACCAGATTATTTTGTAAAAAAAACGGATGCGCAGACAGAAAAACCATGGTTGTTTTTTTTTGTTTTGTTTCACTTTGTGGTATGAACCGAACCCTTAATCAACGCGCGTTATCCATAAAACGGAATTCTTACCTTACCTTATCAAATACTTTATACAGATCCTTAAAACAAAATTAAAGTGTTTTGTGTGGGGTGTGAATATCTCATTTGATTTGATTTCGTTTTGGTTGTGTTGAATTTGTCTGATGATGTCAAATATACTTAAAACGAACCTACACTAGATATGTACAAGTGTTTGCTTGATCTAGTTGCTCGGACTGGCGGCCGGCATGTCAGTGGTGCGTCAACGAAAAGCTGAGATCCATCGACGACGACTCCCACCGCTGGTCGGACGAGCTCGCCTTCTCCTCCGGACTCTTGTCACAGTCTTCTAAATACTTGATCACCTTCTCTGTCGCTTTCATCGCGCATACGCTTGATGCCTCCGTCTGTAAAAAATCACAAATAATTATAATAGTTTATTGTGTGTAAGTGGTTAATTGATACTTACAGAGGAAGTCAAATTCATAAAACTGAAGAATTTCTTCAAAAGTTCAACCATGAGCTCAAACTTTTTGTCCTTGAGAAAACCGCGTACGGTAGTCTCATACTCAGCGTTGTCCATGATGAGATAACCGACAAGCAGGACAAGATATGACGCAAGGAATGTGAATTCCATGTGCGTGCCAGCCTTCTGCAACACTATAAACACACAAAATTAAATTTTAACAAAAGTTACAATAAAAAAAATTAAATTTTTACATTTCGCAACAGTTTCCTCAATAAACTCCTCATTAGTCTTCGGTTGTGTGCTAGTCTCGTCCTTTTCTCCATCCAAAATGGCATCCGTGCGCTTCTCAGCAACTCGAGCGCATTCCTCCCATTGGTGGAACTGCTTAACAAGTGCCTCAACAGCAAACTTCTCGCATGTAAAAACACTTTCACCTTCTGCAGGCGCCTTTGCACCTATAAGCAAACGCTTATTCGCCTCGTTATCCTGTATTAGATTGATCAACAACATCAGAACCAGCACGCCCAGCTCAAACTTCTTCTGTTCAGGGATGTATTGAGGTACTTGGAGTAGAAGATGTAAACTGGAGTCGATTATTCCAGGTCGGGCACCGATTAATGTACTACCAGTTGCTATAAATTTCAAAAAATCACATAAATTAACATTATATACCTAAAATTTTCAATATTTTCTGCAATTAACTTACATTGTTTATTAAAACGATGCGTCAAATTAATTAAAACCTTCAGAGTCACCAACAACGCCTCTCTGATGACAGCACCAGCAGTTTCTTTATCAGCAATATCCGCAACTGGATACAGTGGCAATTCGGAATCACACAGTCGATAAAGTTTCACCAGCGTGTCGAGCAGAATTCCATTATCGTAGTTGAGCAGGTACAGCTGATTCTCTTCGTTGTTATGCGTTACGTTCTCCAGAACGCGCAGGCATCGATCAATTTTCCGCAACTTGTCAAGTAGTGTGTCCGTCCAAGACACAACATAGTCAGACACCTGCCTGCAGCATTCACAAATCGTCTTCATAATATGCTCCAAACCGCCTAGCTCACGCAACTCCTCCTTGAACCATTCCCCGGCTCGCTTCGACGTTAAACTAAGCAGAGTCTCCATTGCTAATTGACCAACAGTAATATTGTCAAGATTCAAATGCATGGCGTGACCTTGGCTTTGAATCTCCGCGCAGAGTTCGCGCACCTTTTGTTTGTTTTTCTCCAACTGCGAACTGCTAAGTCCGCAGATGTCCAACGCCTGTTGATAGTTGACATCCGATTCGAGTAGATTGAGCATCAGCTCCAAACAATCGCGGTCGAGGTCCATGTTCAGCCTGTCCTGACTGAGTACAAACATTACGGTGGCTGTACATAAACCGAGACTCTGATCACGCGTGGCATCGTGCAGGGCTTTGAAGAATTTCGCTACTGTACCGTGTGCACGGACGTGCATACGGAACGCAGGCGCCATGCATTTCGTCGCCAGCGTAATGGCGGACAGGCAACGTGTGCTTATTGGATTGTTATCTTGTAACGCATCCAGAATGTATTCAACATCGTCGTTAAACTCTTGAAACTCGCCGATTTCTTGCATCTGATGTGCTTTCTTCACATTTCTTACAACCGTATAAAACTGTAAATTACAACCAAATTAATTACAAATTCATATTTTTACAAATGAATGAAAACTTACTCCTTTATCATTTCGAGTACATTTCACTTTATTCGCTGTTTCACCCTCGCCGTCATCATTTCTTGGCACTTTGACCAATGGATCGTCGTTGAAACCAAACTCATCATCGACGGTAGTCACTGAAGTGCTACTAACAGTATCCGAAGGTTTTGGAGTAGGTTCAAGTTCCCCGCTCCATTTGTGCCTATACACCGCGCGAGTTTTCTTCGGTCCGTCATAAGTAATCGCTCGAGATTTAAAAATGCTTCCCTTTTTCTTCGAAATAACAACCTTGAGTGATGTGGGCTCCAAAATTTTATCTAAAATCTCTTCCTTGTGTTCCTCAATGGTCGACTTCACTGGAACCTCCTCGCGCATTGCCTTTTCAATCTCCGCTTGTTCGTTATACGGCTCTGATTCGGGTTCTTGCTCGACTTCCGGTTGCGGCATTGGTTCATCTTCCGCCTCGCTGGACCATTCGTCCTCTACACGTGGTGGAGGATCAGGCTTTGATGGCGCGGGTATTATAATCGTCTGTTGAATTTTAATTATTGGCGCTTCCGATGCAACTTTAGGCTTGTCACCAACTTCAACCTCTTCAGGAACAGAAGTTATATCATCAGGTTCAGGTTCAGGCGACTTTAATCTTTCTTCTTTATCATCAGGTTCTTCTTTTTCAATCACTGGCTGTTCCTCTGTGTCTGGATCTTGATCATCTACTTGCATTCGATTTGAGTCGTCAAGATCAATTTCGGCGTCGATATTTTTATCATGATCTTCACCGTCATCATCTTCGCCTTCACCTTGGTCCCTAGTGGTGCCTAATAAATTAGCATACATTGCCTTACGCTCCATTTCGTATTTCTCGGCTGGAATATACTGTGGTGAAAGATCAGCGTCTTTCTTGGGTGAAGTAAACAATGAAAAACTCTCGTTTGCGGTGTCGGCAGTGGCCGGACTACTACTTGGATGATCCTGCTGTAAACTTCGTCTCGTGCTGCGTGTCACCCTCGCATGGCTTGGTGACCTCTGCGCTCGAGGCGAAGTCAGCGTAGATGTCGAAGGCGTGGATGAGGGCGTCACAGTACTCTCAGATTGGTCTGATTCGTTTACAATCTCAGACTTACCATGTACTATTCGCAGGACTATCTTTTGCTTTGAGTCCTTATCAAGGCAAGCTGCTGTGGTAGCAGCAGCAGCAGCAGCGGCGCGCCTTTTGTGAGGCGACGGCTTTCGGCGCATTTCTTCGTTTTGCCGGCGCGCGATCCACCTTCTGCCGTTTTGCGGAAGGCGTGGAAGGTGCATAGGTATCCTTATAACTGCCTTTTGTGGTCGTGGCAGTCGGGCCTGAAGCATTGCTCGACTCACTGTCGGAATTACGGCTTTTGAAGAACTTTTTCGGTTTTGGTACAGCTGCAGGTTCAGGTACTATGTTACCATTAGATTTATCATTTTCTTGTGCTAATCCTATAAATACACGTGAAAATAACTTGTAAAACTCAGATGAATAGCAATAAAAGTTAAATCTCTTTACCATTCTTTGCTCTTATGGAAGTAAATGAAGTAATTCCCCACTTGCCAACAGTGCCTGTAGACCTAGCAGCTGATGGCTTGTTACTATTCTCCTTGAAGAGATTATCAAACTGGAAACTTGCATTGTGATAATTCCCCCGTCGGTATTTCCCATAGCCTCTAGACATGATGGCATTATTAAGACAGTCTAAAATTACAAACAAACACATGCATTATTAGATCTATTCCACTACACAAATACTACAAACTTCAAGATCATAAAACATGTGTGGGTCGCACTTCGTTTCCGTTGACGAAATTGTTTACAGTTTACAGATAATGAGCACTTACGCCATTTTCAGTTAAAGATTTTCGATTTTGGCGGTGCCGATTATCGGAGCCTCCGGAAACTCGTTGGCCGCGGCACGCGCCCTGCTGCGCATTCTTCGTAGCCAAGAAAGCGCCTAGTTCGCGGGTAGCACAAGCACAACCCGCGCCGATGTTCACGCGTTCACGACTCGCAATCGAGCCAAAATCATCAACAGCACTCAAACACACCGTAATATCAAGGCAACACACCGCGTTTACATATGTGTCAAACAACTTCACGTTATAAACACGCCAGAGCCGACGAAGCGACGAAGTAGACGAAGTTGGGGCATGTAGTGCAAGCAAAGCAAGCTAGTGAACCTTGTGAAGAAGTCGTTAATATGGCGGGCAGTGAGTCTACACACTGATCGCTGCTTCATATTACAATTTAAATTCACTGCTCACCGGTAGATGTCTATACATGTACGATTTGTGAATTTACTTTATAATCAATATCAGAGAGATAAAGTTCAAAAGATTATTTTGATTGTTTGCATTCGAGAATGTGGTGCGAGTTAGTTTAGTATTTTATCGGTTAAAGTTTAAAACACATTAAAAACAAAATGTAATCGTCGCGATCAAACAAAATGGCGGATAATATGATTTAAAAAAGATAAGATTAAAATAAAAATACAAAGGAATTAAACTTTAACGTTATAACAATTACAAAATTTTATAAAATATGTAATAAACATTTAATTTTTTACTCCTAAACATTTCTATTATTTCTATTGTGCATTCCTTTGTTTTGTTTGTTGTAAATTGTGCGAAAAATAGGAAGTTGTAATTTCTGCGTAATAAAGGTAATGAATGTACTCAACAAGCGTGCGAGTCATACCAATATGTGTGCAAGCACAAACGTTGAGATTATCGCGACTGGTCAAAGTAAAACAGTAGAACAGGACAGCTTGCAACAACACGAAAGCGTCACTTCACTCTCCGTAGCGTAGTGTAGTGGAAGTGAGTGGAAGCAAACGGAATCATCGCCTTGCGCTCACGACTACCGAGTTCACTGTGTTAGTAGCGAGTGGCGTGCGGAGCGGTCTGCTTCTCGTCGTCTCTGTCAACTGGTTTGGTTTCATCCGCGTCCCCGCGTATTGCATCTCGTCAAGGCAAGCAGCAAGCAAACACAAGACGCGTCGCTAGGGGCAATAAGGGTTCGAGTGATTCTCGTTTTGGAAGGGGCGTTAGCAGTAACCACGAATGCAGACGATCCAGTTTTGTAGGGTCGAGGGTTGTTGTTGGTGTTGCACGTCACCTGAACGCCGGTAGCGTGTGTTTTTTTTTCTACACATCAAGATTAAAATTCCTCATCAACTGTGGTCAGTGCGCATACCGCGAGTAACTTGTGTTTGTGTTGAACTTTTGACCGGAATAAACACACTATTTACATAATCATTTATATAATTTGCAAGAAATCAGTGTATGTACTATAAAAATCATTGTTTTTGTGGATTTTCATGATTGCGAAACATGTGCGGTGATTTGGTGAATAAAAAGAATGTCGTGGAATGAGTGTGAACATTGCCAGCGAACGACAATACATTGGAATATAAATTAATGGTAATTTACAAATGTTAAGCATTATTATCATAGTCATTGTTAGGACGTAAGCAATGCATGATGTTTACTGATTAAAACATAGCAAAACTTCAAATTTACTTACATATTCTTGAATGTTTTTTCAACACGCAAATAAAAAACTATTCAAAAATAAACCTGATCGAAGCGTAATGTGTTTTAAAACGTGTGATGCAAAAGTAATCAGACGCAGTGTGAGAAGCATGGCAGGTGTTGTAATAGATTACAGAAGAGAATGTAGTTAATGCACTGGATTCAGTTCTCTGTTCCATTTCCAGTTGCAATAACATTTAATGCACCTAATAAATGTTACGTCGCAGCGGTTATTCACTTTTATTCTGTTAGTTTTTGAAATTCAAGAAATTTCTTTTCACAACTGCATTGTGTATGTGACTTAACTTAATGCACTGCACTTACCTACATACTGATGTGGATATGTATACGCATAAATGCAGAAAACCAGTTTTACGATATTTCAGTCAACGCGATGCGCGTTTCGAGCGAGCTTTGAAAACGGTCAGTCCATCATGAATTGGCACTTTGTTTATATTTCCAGCTGGGTTGAAAATTAGTATCGTTATTGTTTAACTGCGCAAAATATGAATTTAGACATGTTAATCAAGAGCCGCCAGACAAATAATAATGCAAATTGTTGTTTGAGGTTAGAAATGTTATGAAGACTGTTTTCATTGAATTTTATTGCGAATATTGAGGTTATGTTATGAATTCAAATTACTTTTGTTACGCGCCATTAGAAATACAAATTGCAATTAGAACTGTTAAAATTGTTCCCTTATTTTTGCACAAGTCGATAAACTTGAATATTTCTTTTATTTGAAGAAAAAAAGTTACGAGCATTCCTTTGTTGAATACCAAATAACTACCAAAGCTACAGCGGTAACTGGTAGTAGTACTAGCTGCTGGATGAGAGCGGTTGAAGGTCGTTTTAATCAGGCATAAAACGCCATCACGCTCGCTAGACAGCGTCAGCTACAGAAAAAATAGTCAGGTCATTAACTATCATTCCATAAAATTAAAAAAAAAAAAAAAAACATTCATAAGTCTTAGAAAATCTGTTGTTTCAATCAGTATCACAAGGATTAACATATCTCAAAGATTAATATATTTTACAGATAACCAACGGAAAAATTATTGTCTTTAAAAAAGTTTTCAGCGTTTATATCTTTGGTTCGGATAAGGTTTTTTCTGTTACTAGGTTGTAAAAAGAAATTTACTCACTCACAGTGTGAACAGTTAGAAATTGCCCGGAAAGCAGAAACGTGTTACTTGGCACGTAAATTCACTATTATTAAATATGTAATTTGTAAGTAACTACATACAACAGAATTATTGCTCCTGAATGCTGGAAATTGTATAAAGAACGTATGTTTAGCTGGTGTGTGTGTTCTACATTCAAAATAATTGATTTTCAATGCATTTGTTTTTAGTTCGTTTCATAAGTACTGTACGAGTACACTGCGTGAAGTTCAACGCCACTCGCGCTATTTAAACGGAATGCAATTAGTATGAGTTGTTATTATTTTTATTATTGGAGTGTTATTTCATTAATACCTAATTGCAAAAATTACTAGAAAATTATCAGTACTTTTATTATGCTTTTTAATCTTTATATGAATTTTAAAAGGATTTAAAGGAATGGATTTCGATGCAATTCAGGAAGCAAAATTAATTTTTAATTTATTTTACTTGTTTATAATGTAAATATACGTTAGGCTTGGGCAATCTGATATATACTCATATATGATCAATCTTAAATTGAAATGTTTCGGGTTTTAAACAAGTTTATGCATGTCAAAACGTTTAACGAGTATTATCCAAGCATGAGTTGCATTTCTTTGTGTTTCTCGAGCTGTCTAAATGAAGCGTTAATTTACGAAATAATTAAGCGTGGTATTTCTACATTTTATGACACGATGACATAGGTAATTGTGTTAAACACACATTCAGGAGTAAGCCTAGTAAATGTTCACGTTATTTTATGTTACGTTTTGAGTGCAAAATTACATTTTTCCTGAATCTGAACTTTTAAAATACCAATTTCTAACCGTAAATATTTTTTTGTGTTGATATTTTGAGGATTTGAGGCTTTTAAATACTATAATATTTAAATAATTTGTATATTTGCATGGCAATGTCATGGCATTCACAACACAGTTAACATTGAAACTATAGAAAAGCGAATTTAAAATTAACTTCTCCCACACAAGAAATAACACAAAACAACAAACACATTCCTGCTTTAATGCAGTCAAATATTAAATTATAAAGGCATAAATCAAGCGTGAACATTTAACAAAATAACCAACTTCATATTTAATTATTACTACTGTTTAAAAATTTTACGTACTCGTTGACTGAAAATAGAATTTGATTGGTCGTCTGCTCGTTCGTAATGTGTTTATAACCAAACCAAGATTGCAGGATTGGATTATGTCATCGGTTCAAAATATCTAACGCTAGCCTAAGCAACCGAAACGCAAATACACGTACAATACGAACACAAATATTCCTCAATTCGCAATAAACACTCATGTTCCCGCTGACTAGGCGGATGTTGATGTTTTATAAGCAGTTTTTTGATGTAAAAAAAACCTAATTAATACTTTTATAAACACAGCCGTCCGAAATAAATAATATATGTCCATGATTCATCATTCATAGGGAAATGATAAGGCATGATGGTTTAGCGTCGAATTGCGCTTACGGCAACAAATTTTTATCATGGGATGACTAATCCCAAACCAAAGCGTCATTGAAATTGCGTGTACAGTGTACAACTGAGTGGACACTGTGGACAGTTCAAGTTTACACTTGAAATTACTTAAATCGTGGACAGTGGACATTAACCGCACGACGACAATGGTCAGACTCAACGTCGTTCAGTGAAACCGTGAAACGCAATTGTAATTGTACTCCGAATCAGTGTAAATAATAAACATGAATGACTTGAAGGCATTAATAAGACGATAATTTGCGGGTATTCATCATTCTTTGAATTTATTATTATGAATCATATTGAAAATACATACAATATTGGATAATGAATTTTAAAATATAGGTAATTTAAGCCATCTCTGTGGGAAATAAATTATGATGTACATTTAGTACGTATTAATCTGCTGTAAGTATTGAACTGTAACTGTTAAATTCTATTGTTGAATTGTGGTTTTAGATCACAGACAATGCAGAATCACGCGGTATCTTAATAGAGATTCACAAACCGCAAAATACGAGTATTCCAAAATAATATATAATTATATCGTGTAAAGCAGCCATTATGATTATAAGAACAATACTGTTCAAGTTTATCTATCTATATATATAAAATTTGCGTGTCACAGTGTTTGTTTCCATACTCCTCCGAAACGGCTTTACCGATTTTTACCAAATTTTATATGCGTATTCAGTAGGTCTGAGAATCGGCTAACATCTATTTTTCATACCCCTAAGTGATAAGGGTTGTTCACCCTTAACTTTTTTTTAAATTTTTGAACAAATTCTTTTGTTTTTATTTTTTTTTATAATGTGGAATTAAAAATACATACAACCCTAAATTTTTAGTTTTTTATCACCAACCCCTATTTCTTTATAGCCATTTTAGTAATTTAATCATTTTTTATCCCGCTCAAAGAAAATTTTTATATGCGTATTCAGTAGGTCTGAGAATCGGTAACTTCATATCTTTAAGTGATAAGGGTTGTTCACCCTTAATTTTTTTTAATTTTGGTCGAAATTTTTTGTTTTTATTTTTTTAATGTGGCATTAAAATATACATACAACCCTAAATTTTTGGTTTCTTATCACCAACCCCTATTTTTTATAATAAGTAAGTTACTTTTTGTCTACACTAAAATTTATCTAGAAACTTGAAATAATTTATATGGCAAAACAACGTTTGCCCGGTTAACTAGTGTATTTATAATATTAAGTTATTTCTATTGTAAATGTTTGTGTTTGTAAATTTAAAATTTTATCTTTAGATTAGGATTTAGATTTGATTTCATTGCATAAACTTTTGATATCGGGTTAAAGGCATATTTATTACCGCTTATAAGTTTAACAGTTTGATTACTGCTAACAACTATTATTCGTTTTTATTGAAATCTTTATTTTGCTTTTATGTGACTCAAATTACTGACATTTATGATTTCGTTTAAAACTCATGCACCTTTTATAGACTTGTAGAACTTTGAGCGCAATTTTGTTACGTCGATTGAGTAAACAAAAAAGAAACATACTTTTATAATTAAAATTCCAGAGAAATACTGTTTTTTTATGGGATAGTGTTAATTTTTGAACTTGTTAAGTTTCATTTCCTGTTATGAAACGCAGTGAAACATTAACTATTTACGTTTGTACGAATCACTATTTGTCCATGCACTTTTTGCGCAAACAATGACACTATTCTCGAACTGTAAACTTGCAAACACTTTAAACAAATAGAAATTCCAATGCTACACTTATCTATTAACATAATTAAAGTTAAGACATTATTCGTATATTAAATATCGTAAAATTTAAATCTTCCAAGGTTTTTCGGAGCAAATGGAGCATTATGCCCTATTTGACTGATTTTAAAGTTTATTTTCGTTATAAAAATAGGTTATGTTTTGCTCTTATAATTAAGCTACAACACTGAAAAGTTTCAACAAAATTTATTCAGTAGTTTTTAGGTGAAAAAGTAACAAACATACATCCATCATTACACACTTTCGTGTTTAAAATTTTACTTATAAACATAGAAACAATTTACTTTGAAATTACAAGTGCTTTATTTTGTTTTGGTTTAGTAGTTACGTACTTATGGTTATCAGCAATGCGCATGCAGCTTACTTGCGTGATGACAATAGTGACAATAGCTTTCGATAATAAATGTCCTGCGATGCCGCATTCTGCTGCTCTGTGATAATTATAGATAAAACGAAACAATACAATGTTGTTTGTAGTTTTATCTCCTCGTT